TACTAATTATGTTATATTACACAGCCTTATGCTGGTTTACTGTTTACTTGACCCTTGCATGGGGATATGTACATACACATTGAGAGCCAATGTACCAGAGTCAAATTCCTCGTGTGTCCGACACACCTGGCCAATAAAGCTGATTCTGATAATATTCTTCACTTCCACCTGTTCCCAGGTTCTTGTTGTGCTTGTACTCTCTCTGAATATAATGCAGAGACAATACAAACAATACCATCATATCTGGTGGGGGTTGAACCACCAAAACATTTGGATAACCTTATCTGGCATAAAAAAACAAACAAACAAACAAACAAACAAACAGGATTGCTCATTGAATCTGGGATTTGTTCAGTGACATACAGATAACAGCCCCCAGGTGATGTGTTGGTGTTTACCTGGTGATGCCAATGTAACCAATCTCCTGCCGACTGGTGTTATTAATCAGTGACAGTCCGAGGTTTTGCAGTGACACCTTCACTTCTTGTTGAAACTGTTCGAGCTCCTCTGCTTGCCGAGCCTTTGTCACCACACCAGCGTCCTCTGTGAACAGCAGCACCCGCTGACGCCCGTCCAGGAAGGAAACCCAGTGGACCTGAGACAGGCTGTTGGAGGAGAACTGACCCACCTGGTCCTGAATGAACAAGGATGAACTATCAGAGGAGGAGTGTGTGTTTTCAGTTCTATTGTACTATCTTTATTGGGGAGCCAACACAAGGAGTCTGATTATGGTGTGGGGTTGAAAACTTCGTAGGGACCAAAAAGAAGAAGAATCCTCTTTTTATTGTCATTGTAACACGTACAACGAAATTTTGTTTGGAACAGAGGGCCCTGGGCCACTGCATGCGTACGTGCTGCCATCACAGGCAACTTGGGGGTTCAGTGTCTTGCCCAAGGACACTTCGATATGTGGACTACAGGCACCGAGATTCGAACCTCCAACGTTCCAGTTGGGAGACGACTGCTCTATGCACTGCACCACTGCCGGAAAAGCAGGTTTCCACAAAGTTAAGCATCTAACTGGTGGATACTGCAGAAAATTGACTTATATAGCACTCCTCTACATACGTCGTGAACACGAGAGCACTTTATACTATTTTGCCCATTCAACCATTCACACACACACTCGCACCTGATGGCGGGTTGCCCCTGTTGCCCCATCAGGTTGGTGGTTCAATCCCTGGCTTGTCTAATCCACATGTCTATGTGTCCTTGGGCAAGATTCTGAACCTCGAGCTGATCCTGCAGCAGTGTGTGAACACTTGTAGGTGCAAACGGGGCAAATTGTGTAAAAGTGCTTTGAATGCGCTTCAGTGCGTGGAAAAGCTCTTTTTGCAAGTCCACTTGCATTCTTCGGCCACTTGGGGGCAGAAGAAAAACTTGAAAACATCTGTCTCGTTGGTTGGGGTTTTGGCCAGTTGTTATACATCAGGAACTGACATTCATGCTCAACATCTGACATTCATGCTCAACATCTGACATGTTATCTTATTTACTAGTTGATCCTAACTTCTAATTAAACAGTTTGGTGTTCCCTCTCTGTTAGCTCCATTTCTGGTCTCCACCACCTCCTGAGGGAAACTTCTGGCTCTTTAGCTGCTAAATACTCAACTATTTTTACCAGCTGGTCTCTGACTGGTTCTGCTGAGCTAGTCGTGGACTGTGGCTTTTCAGAGTGTCTTCTCTGAAACCGAATCAGGCAGGAAATGTGCCACAAAGCCAAACTAGGAACTAAAAGAAGCTAGAATCCTGTCTCGGAACCCCAGAGAAACATGTTACTATTACACATAGCATCTTGTCAAAACAAAAATACTACTGGGTGCAGTTTTCCATGCCATACCTTGAGCAGGTCCAGCTCTCCTGAACGCTCCTTGCAGTTCCAGCTGAGCATTCGGACACCAGCTGGGTCATCCCATGCAAACCGCCGAGCCTCACCTGGTTTCAGCTCATGAACTACCGGTGACCCACTGAGGAAAACACAGACAGTAGTTAGGTTTCCATTAAATTGACAGAAATCTTTAAACTCCGATTCCTGAATTTCTGCAGAATAAAATGTGAATCAGTGTTTATGTGTCACCACCTTAAAGAGTGTGAACAGATGAGTTCATTAATGCTAGGGTGTATGTGAAGGCCGTCGGTGTGTTTCACAAGCTAACAAAGTAACATCCATAGCTCCACTGAGCACGATAAGAAAACCATATCCCTCCATGGCTTTATCAGTTACTAATAGTGATGCGTTGTTCAGATTTCTGTACTCTGTGTGCTGTGTGATTGAAGGAGGCAGAAGCTGGTCCACCCTAAAGACAAAGCACCCAGACCTCAAGTAGACCAATGCAGTATATATTACAGTACAATATATCTTGGTTGGGTCTCCCTTGAAAAAGAGATCTTGAACTCAATTGGACTTCTTGGTAAAATAAAGGTAAAATAAAAAATAAAAGTAGTTCAATGCAGCCAGGAATGTCAAGACGTGTACAATGGAGAAACAAAACCACCACTCCACAAGCCTCCACAGACACTTACAATGCAGTCCTGCCACCCCTCCCCAGGAATTTAACACCCATCCACACCGTGACTCATGTAACCCTAATGACACATATGATAGCCATGTGGGGTAATGCCATGACTCGACACCAATCAGTCTGGACTGAAGAAGCTTCACAGATGAGAGGTGCAATGTCTGGACATACAAGCTCCTGTAGTTACACGGCTTTATCAAAAACAATCATCAGCCAGGGTTGAAGGTCTCTTCAGTCAGTTTTTGCTCAGATTGACAGAAACGCCTGTGTGTGTGTGTGTGTGTGTGTGTGTGTGTGTGTGTGTGTGTGTGTGTGTGTGTGTGTGTGTGGTGCTCTCGGGGGCTGTAGTTGATGGTGACCCAGGGTGTGTGGTTGAACAGCAGGGCAGGAGCTGCTCCTTCATAGTAATCACTGAAGCTGATGATGGTGGAATGATCGGAGATGTTGACCTCCACAATAATCCCACCATACTGAAAATAGACACACTTGAAAAGCTCTGAAACACATTAATTTCTCTGAATTAATCAGAAAATGTGACGGGCCTAGCAGGGACACTGACCATGTCGAGACTCAGCAGGGTGCCGCTGTCCTGCTGGTTAAAGAAGAAGGACTTGGAGGTGGATTCTGATCCGATGACACGGACACACAACTTCCCTGAGCTGTTCTCCGGCCACAGAGGGAGGCACTTCAACACAATAGAGTAAAAGCAGCAATGACAACACTGTAGAGACTTTATTTTCTCAAAAATCCACTGAGTGGCTGCTACTCGGTCATATTTAGTAGTGACTTCACATAGATGCCCCATTTGTAATAAAACAAACTTCATATACAGTACCTCACAGCTCACAGGCTGTGATTGAAAACATGCTTCTTTCACACAAAGCAACAACCTGAACCTCGTTTTTATTGCCCAGTTTGTTTAACACAAGGAAATTCACTCCAGTTCAGTGGCTTTCAATGTGATTTTGTTAGTCAACCAGAAAATGTGCAATAAAATAAAATATAATAAAAAAAAAAAATATTGCACTGGGGCGTTTGCTGTATTCGGCTGTACAAACAACCATGGTTTAACTGTTCATCAGTTAACTGGTAATACAAAATGCTGCAGCCAGAGTCCCGACAGCAACTAGCAAGAAGATCATATCTCTCCCATATTAGCTTCTCTCCACTGGCTCCCTGTAAAATCCAGAATAGAGTTTAAAATCCTTCTCCTAACATACAAAGCCCTTAAGGACAAGACTCCATCATATCTTAAAGACTTCACAGAACCTTATCATCCCAACAGAGCACTTGGCTCTCAGAGTGCAGGTCTACCAGTGGTTCCTAGAGTCATATAGAAGTAGAATGGGAGGCAGAGCCTTTAGCTATCAAGCTCCTCTCCTGGGGCACCAGCTCCCAGTCTAAGTTCAGGAGGCAGATGCCCTAGACTTAAAACTTTCCTTTTTGATAAAGCTTATAGTTAGGTTAATATTGTTGTTCTGTCATTATTATTGGGTGAGGACGGGGGCTTGGGGATGCTTTATGTTAAGGTCAGGTTAGGTCTGGAAAAAGGTGTTGCTTATTGTCGGGCTCTGAAGATGTATGATGGAACGGCCTGACACCCCTTCACACTGCGGCCCGGTACCAAATGATCCAGGGACCGAGGGTTGGGGACACCTGCTCTAGGAATACTCACCTCAGTGGAGGGGATGTAGTGCCACCTGGTGCGGGCCTGGCTAATGACTTCTCCCACCTCCAGTTCATAAGATGACTTGTTAACCAGGGTGTAGAAAGGACTCATTGTGACTATCCTTGTCAGGTTAAAACTGCTCATCTGGATGCCCACACCCACCTGCCACATAGTAAAACAGCAAAGATCAGACTCTGGCTCCAACTAATGGTGACTTTCTGTTTTACTGTTTTATTTTCTAAGATAATCAGTTACTTGTTTGGTATACAAAAATAATAAAATACTGAAAAACATCCCATAATTTCACTTACATACAGTAAATGTTATGATGAACCATCAAATCAAAAACACACAAAGATAAAAAATGAAAATTGGTGGCACTTTTGTTAAGAAAATGACAAACTATTAATTATTTTTATTAAAATGGTTGGCTACTGTTTTTTTGTCAAGCAACTAAAGGGAGTTATTCCTTCCCGCTGACACCAATTGCTGCTCAGGGGGGTTTTGTTAGGTTTTCTCTACAACACTGTAAGGTTTAGACCTTACTTTTAGAGTGCCTGGCAATAACTGTTGTTGTGATTTGGCACTACATAAATAAAACCGAATAGAATTGAAGCTGGAAGTTAATTATGTTCTGGGCAGTTCAAACCACCTGTTGCAGGTCTTTCTTTTCCCCAGCAGTGCAGTTTGCATACCACCCTGAGATGCAGTATGTGAATATGCTCTCTGTGGTGGATTTGTAGAAGGTTGCCAGCAGCTGATGGGACAGGCTGATGTTTTTGAGTCTTTGCATGAAGTAGAGCCTCCGCTATGCCTTCCAGTCCATGACAGGTTTAGTGAAAACTGTATTCCCAAGAATCTAAAATTAACCACCCTCACCTTCGTCAGGATTGGAGCCTGTTCACTGCTTCTTGACCTCCTGAGGTCGATAATAATCTCCTTCACTTGGCTGATGTTAAGTGGCAGGTTGTTGTTCATGCTCCAGCACAACAGTCTTTACCCGCCATCCCTGTGCTGACTGTTGCCTGCCATCATTCCTATTACCAATGTGTCATATGCAAACTAAATGATGCTATTTGAAGTGTAGGCAGGTATACAATCATGAGTGTAGACCAAGTACAGCACAGGGCTGAGCATGAATCATTTAGTGATTGTTGACTGAATAGTAAACCCACATTTACAAAATGAGACACTGAGGGTTTTAGTTACCAGGAAGTCCATGTTGTTCGCGGGACAACGAACGCAGCCATAGCTTCCCACCGTGTCCAGAGAGAAACCGTCAGACCAAGAGCTGGTGGACACACTCACCTGGAGCTGCAAAAAACAAGACAACAGTCAGAAGTTATACTGTTATGATAGTAAACACTACAGGGAACATGAACCTGAGAATGCTGATATCTGATTGTAATACTGTAAAATTTGCATCCTGATCAACAGTGGCCATTTATGGTTTTAGTATTACTACTTTTTAACTTTGTGTGAAATATGTTTGACTAAAGAATTAAATTGGAAATAAAGTTGATTTGTCTTAAAAGATTTATTCTGAGTAGGCTGTAAATGAAAACCTAAATTCAAAAACTGAATAAAGGGCCAATAATTTAAGTAAATTCAACAAAAATCCAAAAAACTTCAGGCAGATATTAACTTTAGGAAACACTTGTCTCATAAATTTTAATAAAACAGTTTTATACCGGAAAAACTAAACAAATTTCACCACAAAATCAGGATAAGATCTGATGTTAAGATCTCACTGTCAAAGAATTTGTTCAATGTATGCTCAAGGACATCAAAGTTACAGTATTAAGTAGAAACCCGAATGTTTTGAGGGCCTGAAAAATTCAGGTACACACGAGTAATAAGATAGATTAATTTGTTGGTCAATCAGTCAGGCCGATATTTGGCATTTTTAGAAAACTGGCATCGGCACCCATGATGCCAATCAACAAAAACTGTCTGCAGACACATCTACATTTCTTTTTTTTTTTTTTACACTGCATTTTTTTTTCCATTTGTTAAAATTTTAAATAATAAGGGGAGTACAGAGTGTAGCAAACAGAGATGATGCTCATTCTGTATTTAAAAATACTTGTAATAATTCAAATATTTTCATAATTCATTCATGTTGTCATTTAAGTTCAGAAAATGCATCTCTCATTTGTTATTATTAGAAAGTCACTTTCGGCATTTTCCTGTTTAGGGATCGCCACAGCGAACTGTCACACTGACGACTCGCATGTTGACATTTGGCACATGTTTTACGTCGGATGCCCTTCCTGACGCAACCCTGACTTGAACCCGGGCCGCAGCGGCGAGAGCGCTGCGCCTTAACCACTAGCCTACCAGGGACGGCTATATTTGTTATTATTAAGATGTTAAATTTTATCTGATGCAGGGTCTGTTCAGTTAAACAAATGGTATTTTGTACAATTTCCAGTCTGGCTTTAGACAACACAATACCGAAAATGTACTGACAAAGGCACTAAATGATATTCATGGTTTTACTGATGCTGGTAAAACAACCGTCCCCCTCCCCCACACAGCACTGAGCTGCTTCAGATTATATACAAAATATAAAGGCTGTTTGTCTCGGTTGGTGCCTATAGTTCTGAACAGATAACCACAACCTGTGGTATCCCCCAAGGACCTGGCTAGTTAATCCGTACAAACTTCCACTGGGTCAAGCCTTACATGGCTATGGCATTCCCTATTACGGTTATGCAGATGATATTCAGATTTATTTAGCACTTATCCAAATGATTGCGCAACCTTAAATACTGTCTTACAATGTTTGTAGCAAATAAGCAACTGAACAAAGTTTCTTAAGACTGCGGTCATTGTCTTTGGAAATGAGGACAGAACTGAGGTTATTGATTGGCTCAAGACTGCATCTACAGTGCCTTGCGAAAGTATTCGGCCCCCTTGAACTTTGCGACCTTTTGCCACATTTCAGGCTTCAAACATAAAGATATAAAACTGTAATTTTTTGTGAAGAATCAACAACAAGTGGGACACAATCATGAAGTGGAACGAAATTTATTGGATATTTCAAACTTTTTTAACAAATAAAAAACTGAAAAATTGGGCGTGCAAAATTATTCAACCCCCTTAAGTTAATACGTTGTAGCGCCACCTTTTGCTGCGATTACAGCTGTAAATCGCTTGGGGTATGTCTCTATCAGTTTTGCACATCGAGAGACTGAAATTTTTGCCCATGCCTCCTTGCAAAACAGCTCGAGCTCAGTGAGGTTGGATGGAGAGCGTTTGTGAACAGCAGTTGTCAGTTCTTTCCACAGATTCTCGATTGGATTCAGGTCTGGACTTTGACTTGGCCATTCTAACACCTGGATATGTTTATTTGTGAACCATTCCATTGTAGATTTGGCTTTATGTTTTGGATCATTGTCTTGTTGGAAGACAAATCTCCATCCCAGTCTCAGGTCTTTTGCAGACTCCATCAAGTTTCCTTCCAGAATGGTCCTGTATTTGGCTCCATCCATCTTCCCATCAATTTTAACCATCTTCCCTGTCCCTGCTGAAGAAAAGCAGGCCCAAAACATGATGCTGCCACCACCATGTTTGACAATGGGGATGGTGTGTTCAGGGTGATGAGCTGTGTTGCTTTTACGCCAAACATAACGTTTTGCATTGTTGCCAAAAAGTTCGATTTTGGTTTCATCTGACCAGAGCACCTTCTTCCACATGTTTGGTGCGTCTCCCAGGTGGCTTGTGGCAAACTTTAAACGACACTTTTTATGGATATCTTTAAGAAATGGCTTTCTTCTTGCCACTCTTCCATAAAGGCCAGATTTGTGCAGTATACGACTGATTGTTGTCCTATGGACAGAGTCTCCCACCTCAGCTGTAGATCTCTGCAGTTCATCCAGAGTGATCATGGGCCTCTTGGCTGCATCTCTGATCAGTCTTCTCCTTGTATGAGCTGAAAGTTTAGAGGGACGGCCAGGTCTTGGTAGATTTGCAGTGGTCTGATACTCCTTCCATTTCAATATTATCACTTGCACAGTGCTCCTTGGGATGTTTAAAGCTTGGGAAATCTTTTTGTATCCAAATCCGGCTTTAAACTTCTCCACAACAGTATCTCGGACCTGCCTGGTGTGTTCCTTGTTCTTCATGATGCTCTCTGCGCTTTAAACAGACCTCTGAGACTATCACAGTGCAGGTGCATTTATACGGAGACTTGATTACACACAGGTGGATTCTATTTATCATCATTAGTCATTTAGGTCAACATTGGATCATTCAGAGATCCTCACTGAACTTCTGGAGAGAGTTTGCTGCACTGAAAGTAAAGGGGCTGAATAATTTTGCACGCCCAATTATTCAGTTTTTTATTTGTTAAAAAAGTTTGAAATATCCAATAAATTTCGTTCCACTTCATGATTGTGTCCCACTTGTTGTTGATTCTTCACAAAACATTACAGTTTTATATCTTTATGTTTGAAGCCTGAAATGTGGCAAAAGGTCGCAAAGTTCAAGGGGGCCGAATACTTTCGCAAGGCACTGTATTTGCGACTTGAACTTGACTCATACACAAAATGACTCGGGACTAATCCTCAAAAGACTTGAGATTTGAGAACAAATCTTAATTGTACTTTTTTTCTGCACATCAATGTTAAGGAAACATCTGTGAGCTGAATGTCATTCCCTTTCCTATTGTCATGCAGAATTTTACACGTGCACGGCGCACTGCCACAAGTAGCCTAAGCTGCAGCTGCTCCGCCATTTTATCAGGCACCTCAAAATGCAACGAATAGGTAAGTCAGTCACTTGGTAAGGTGAAAAGCAAGTTAATATTAATGCCTATGGACCGTTAGCAAACTTGTTAGCTCAGCATCAGCTATCTAACATTACCTCATTACTAGTTTTGCAGCTAAAGACATTAACTTAGTAACAGAGTGGATGACAGACTCTGCTTGCCTGCTACACTTGTTCACATATAATACTGGCTTTGCAGTGACTACAGAAATAACTGGGTAATTAATCATCCACGTTCCTCTGCCACCATCTGTGAGATAACATTTAACTGAGAGAAAGACCATGTTAATTATTAACATGGGCAGGTTACAGGTTTACTGCTGACCATATAAACATAGCGCATGACAATAAACACTTTGAGTCTTCAAAGTTACAGGCTTATTAGTTTACCGTTACACCAGGCTCGACTAGCTACAGTCATGTGTTAATTTGCAGTAGGTTATAAGCTGCCATTAGACACTGTCCTTTTTGATAAAGCTTACAGTTAGCTTAATATTGTTGTCTTCAAAATAATACTAGTAGGACAGTGAGGGAGGGTAGAAAGGTACTTAGTATGCTGCGATATTTCTTCTGATATTTCATGGCATCATAACATCTAATGTTGCTGAACAGAGATAAGACTGACAGCCATTTTGGTGTCTGCAAGCAAACAGGGGGCCTGGGCCGTTCTGTTGCCACTGAGTATATGTAACCGTACCAGTGGTTTCTAGTCAACAGCACGGCCGTCGTTTGTGCCCATGTAGTGGTGGCTATGAAATTATTGGACACGCATTCTACGATATGTTTGGCTTGGTGGGCCATCCCTTACATATAGGCCTAGGCTGAGGGTCTTCTCAAGGTGCGGAGCACCACTCCTCTCCTCTCTCTCCATCCATCTATATGCCACCACTACCCATCATTAACTGTGTGTCTCCTCCCTACCTCTCCTGTAGTGTCTCCTCTCTACCTCTCCCATAGTGTGTCCTTTCTGCAGGTAGCCCTGGCTCTGTCCTCTCTCTCTCCCTGTACCTTTCTGCAGGTAGCCCTGGCTCTGGAGCTCTACATTTCTGATGAGCAGTCACCGGCCACATCAACCTAGCCAGCTTGTTGCGTTTCTTTTCTCTCCTCTGTCCACTCACCCCAACTGGTCGAGGCAGAAGGCCGCCCACCAAGGCTTGGGGTCTGTCAGAGGTTTCTTCCATTAAAGGGAGTTTTTCCTCCACGCTGTCGCCAAGTGCTGCTCGGGGAGGTTGTTGGGTTTTTCCTCTATACAATTAATAATAACAGTAAGGTGTAGACCTTAACTTTGTCAAGTGTCTTGATGACTTTTGTTGTCATTTGGCCCTGTACAAATAGAACTGAATTAAATTAGTTGGAGACCCAGTGTAATAGCACAGTAGCTTGTATTCTTAACCGTTATTGTAAAAGAGCTTCATTATTGCTTACCTATAAGGTTAGCAGTATTTTCCTGTTACCCTGAGTAACTGTCACAATTCAGTTTATATATACTATGTACCAAACCCTATCAATTATAATGCACTATATGTTTTGAATTCCTTGGATACAGCAATGTAGTGTCTAATCAGTCTGGATGGCAGCATTACAACCATAAGAGACTTGATACTTGACTTGAACTTGCAACTTGTGAGCATCTCTGACACACACACACAAACAATTTGGATAAAACCCCCCAGGTTTTGGTCAAATCTTGTCCTAAGCTGACACTACAGGAGGGTAATGGGGTCATTAAATACTTAAGGTTAAGACATTCACAGATATAGAAATCACGCGATGATAGGACTCAGAACCTGTCCAAGTGTTTGTCTCACCTTGTTCTTGCTGAACAGGTTTTTCTTCCTGAAGGAGAACAGGATGATGTCTCTGTGGTCAGCCGGGTGTTTGATGCTGATGTCCTCGGCTCTGTATTGCAGCACTCGAGATGTCTTGTTGATGATCCAGTATGGGCTAAAGAGCGACAGCAGCAGGCGGCTTGTCGTCCTCTTCACGTGAACACTCACATCCACCGTCATGTTGGTGTCCGAGTCACAGGTGAGACACATGGTGAAGAACTCGGGCATTTCCCGTTCGATACAAACGTGTCCATGCCAGTTGCGGCCCTGATACTTCATCAGCACCAAAGACATGATCTCACCTGAAGCGCGAGCATTTAGGAGCTCTGATGTGCTGCCTTCATAAAGATCATAAGAATCTGCTGAGCTCTGAGGAGGAAAAACCACAGTATCTGACTTTAGTTCACACAAGTGAATTGATGTGACCCTAAAAGAACAAAAATCTTTAAACCTGCTAATATGTGAAGACCTTTTATTAGTTCTTTTGGACTCTATTCTTGTTTGATTCTGCAGGAGCTGCTTACCTCCATCATGTAACGAACAGTGAAGGGGAGCAAGTTGCGTAGTGTGGCCACGGGGTGGAGGTGGATGACGTAAGCGGGGTTCCAGTCCTCCTCGCCACGGCGGATGATTTGTTGCAGATTGTCAGGGACAGCCTGCGTGCTGACCATCAGTGGTAGCAGGCCACTCTCAGTCGCAGGGCACTGCAGCACCGAACACACCTCCGAGCTGCGGTGCACCTGCTCCTTCCAGGCCACACAGGTGGAGGATGGACTGTACTTACCGTCCAGAGAGCCCGCTGGACATACAAACAGCTGACAACTGGAGCACAGAAGGAGACAAATCTACAGTCAAAACCTTTGGCACTTGGTGCCACAGAAACTACAAACACCTATACAAGCAGCAGCAGAGGACAAAATTCATTATCTGCAGAATGAAATAAATCCATTTTAAATAACAAAACCAGAACCTGACACCACATTGATGATGCTACATGCTAACAATCATGCCCTTGTTTCCATGAGCAAGGCAGTGTCACACTACCTATATGTTTCTAAGGTGACATGAAACTCTCTCTCAGGTTCGGCCTGTCCAACACTCTGCAGACTCCTCGATGCTGGACAGTACTTCAGGATAGTGAATGGCACTGAGAAGTGGTTCTTTATCTGAAAACACAAACAACATTTAGAAATAAAGCTGTCCTGCTGCTCAGTCTTCAGCATGTTCAGACTGTCAGATGATCGTTGAAGGTCTGTGAATTGGACCTGCAACGGCGAGCGGACAGTGATGATCTTATTGCCCTCGGTGGCATCAATCTGCAGCAGCACAGAAACAGCCTCCATGTGCATCGGACCACGGATGTTGTAGAGACGGCGTCCCGGTTTGTCCATAGCGATGCGTGAGATCTCGCTGTATCCAGAGGGCACTGCAGATCCAAAGACACATCTTTACTCAGACTGTCTTACATGTCACAGATTGAAACAATGGACAGTGTGAACGTAAAACCACAGAGCGAGAATGCAGTGAAGTGAGCAGTTCTGACCAATGCTGAGGTAAAACAGGCAGCTCTCTTGCTGCTGTAGAGCTGACAGTTTGCCTCGTGATGACCGTTCAAAGATGGAGTGCTCCAGGTCCATCCTCTGGTCCACCGACAGCTCAAGTAGTTTGCCTGACTCCGTTGAACCAACCAGCCTCAGGTTGGCACTATGCTGCACAATGAGGGGGATCCCCAGAAAGTTTCTGATGGTGAAGGGGGCCTTCTCCTTCAGAGTGTAATCAAAAGTGGAGGCAGTGCCCTCAGAGAATGCCTGATTAAAACAGCAATGGCAAAGCAAATCTATAAGGTACTGGCACTACTGAATGAATAAAATGACAATGAGTTCAACCTCACAACAATCAGAGAAAGGGTTTCGTTTCCTGCTCTAAATAGCTGGTCTTTGTCTTTCTGCTGAAACTGATGCGTCCTACTTCTGAGTTGGGGAACACCAGTCAGATAGCTTTGGATGTGTTACCAAGATGGGGACCTCTGTCTTTACGGATCCTGTAAAACTCAGTAGGTAGTTATGCTTTGTTTATGATGTGTTGTACCTTGGTGAGGTTATGGAAGACATTGAGGCAGCACTGAGAGACTGTGATGTTCATAGTGTCTTTGGAGCAGAGGTTGATTGCCGTGCAAGGCTCAGGAAGAATTACAAAGTCATCTCCGTGAACAGGACTCTTATCCTGGACTGGGTTGTTCTTCATCTGCAGGAACAAACACAACAACAATTCACTTATCACCTTGGTGAGTGTTTTTTTTCCCCTAAACATATTATTAGCTAAAAATAAAAACCAATAAAGCCTCATATCAGTAACACCTATATAATAATAATAATCACCTTTATTTGGCCAAGTATGTTACACACAAGGAATTTGTTTCCAGTACAGAACCGAGGCAGCCATCTGCGGCGCCAACTCAACCGATGGCTCTAACCATCGGGGGCAACTTGGGGATTCGGTGTCTTGCCCAAGGACACTTCGACATGTGGACTGCAGGCACTGTGATTCGAACCTCCAACTCTCTGTTTGGGAGACAAACGCTCTACCCACTGAACCACAGTTCTGGGCAATTTTGCTGGGCAGTGTGTGGCAGGCTTCAATGTCAATTTTGTCCATAAAAATACCCTTACAGTCCAAAAAGCTAAGTTCCTGTTGCTCCAGTGACGCTCGGCCTTAGAGGCTTCGACTATTCTCCTGGTACTGGAGTCCTTGGAGCCCACAGCCACCCCAGCATATATTTGGTGTCTGGTCCTCAGGCCGCTGGTAATAAGATCATTCACCCAGTAGTACTGCTTGAGTTTGACCACTCCATTCTCCAGAAATGTGACCTTCTTATCCTTTTTCATACTTTGTTTTTTAAGTGACTGAACTTCTCCCATCAGTTCCACTATCCTATTTTATTATGTGGCAACTTTTGTCAACTCGGCTGACAAGACAACGAGAGATTTCTTGATCTCATCCATCTCATTTTGAAGATTTGCAGCATTCCTTGATGCTATGTTGTTTCCCCAGGATGTGGTAATCTACTGAAACATAACTGCCTGTAAATTATAGCTGGGGTCACTGGGGAAGTGTTATAATAAACAGCTTTTCCTCGACATGCTTTCTGACATACAGTACCTCTGCTGGCCAGGTTAAAAAAAAAGGTGCTATGATGTATTGGACCCATCATAAAACATCCACACTCTAGAGGGGAGGGATATTTTGGTTGACCTTTGGATTTTTATTTGAGAGAACAAAAGTGTCTGAAACCTGAAACTGTTTAAGGATTAAACATTTTTATAGGCATAGACTTCATTTATGAGAGGTTTTTTTGTGGCACATAGTCTAGGCTGAAATCTGGAGCAATTTATGATATATTGCTGGGATAATAAAATGAATATCCTTTTTATGCTGGTAGATTATGGCCACTTTACACATGAGTATGTGTGGCACTCTATCCCAAACTGCCTCACAAAGTGTGTCAAGAACAGTTGAGTGGAGGAACAAGGAGGACAGCAGTTTGAACATTGAAGAGATTTTATCATCAAATCTCAGAAACAACACATGCAGCTGATCAACACAGAAGTAGTGAAAACAGTTTTACCTCAAGCTCCAGGGTCCATCTACGTCTGCCGCCATCAACTCGTTCGATCAGAGGCTCCCACACTGCGTGGATCTCATTGAAATAGTTCACCTGCAGACACAACAGGTGTCAGCGTTAAAACACTTTTATGTTATACATGCTGGGTTTGTTTTCAGTTCCACCGCAGCAGGTTAAAAACAGGTTTACAAAAGGTATGTGTCAGATGTTCACAGTCTAAAAGTTGTCATGGTAAATTTCTAGCATGGAGAAGACAGATTCGCGAATAACTGGACTTTTCTAGATGCAGGTGTACACAACAACCACATGAAATACATTAACTGCACACAAATGATCTCCATTTAACTAACTGTATGATTTCTAAGACCAAGTGGCTACACCAGTGATGATTTAGGTGAGGGTGAATACTTATGTGATCAATTATTTTCTGCATTATATTTTTTAATTAATTTACTTTGTAGAGAGTCCTTTTTTGTTAAAGTAAAAAAAAAAAAAAAAGCCAAATGAAATCAATCATGATTCAATGTTGTAATAAAATAAAAACTGTGAAAACTGCCAAGGCTGCTGGATACTTGTTATAGGCACTGCACTTTCATTAGCCATACAGACAAAGAAAAACAAAAAGAAATCGAAACATAGATTTAACTTTGGATCCATTTGAATATTCAAGACCAGTTCAACAATTTCTTGTCAAAAAGTTGAAGTTTTGATGATTGGAACAATGTGTTTTTTTATTTTCAGTTAACACTTTTGCAGGTAACCGTCGTTTTTTTAATTAAGTATTTCAATTATTAGTGTTTTCATTTAATTTTATTCAAAGTTATTAGCTGCTCAGCTGTAGTACTTTTGGTTTCTTTAGTCAGCTTTGGAACAATCCGACTGAACAGTGAATGGTTAGTAAACTCAAAGACCAGATTTTATTAATCAGTGCTGTTCAGCAATCAGTGTTTTCCTCATTATCTCCTGTGCATCACTGCGCATCCAGATTCAGCTATGAAGGACCGATTCTCACCTCCAGTGTCATGTCAGCTCTCAGCTGCAGCAGAGATGACCAGTTTTTGGCTGATCCACTAAAGGAGGACTCGGCTAGCAGCAGAGGGATGGTCCGATGGCCCAAACCAGACTCGAGCGTCACCTGGACCACCTGGGGACCGACAACACCGTGTCAACAGTTTTGATCAAAGTTTCTGAATGAAACTCTCTTTAAAGAAGTAAAATGTTGTGTTACCTTGATCTCAGCATTGAAACTCCCGCCCTCATTGAATCTGTCCTGCTCTCTGAAGCTCTCAGTGAGCTCAGTGGCCTGGTCCACTCCCAGGAACCAGTAGTTACAATCATAGATGTTCATGACCGACCACAGGTTGCCTGTGTCAGGCTTCAACTCCTGACTCGGCTCATCACGCTGCTTCACCGTCATGGCGGCAGTTATGGTCATCACTGTGTTGAGGATGAATGGAGAGATCTGCAGGACAAGGACATGCTGATAAGGAGGCCCCTGACAGTGTGTTTACCCCCTGGGACTCGCTTTAGTGTGTCCTTTCTTCTGCCTGATACAATGACATCTCCTTGATGTAGTCCAAGAGGGACCACAACAAAGTCAGACAGTTTGAAGCATGAAAACAAGATTTAATCCATACTGTCTGGTGTAAAGTACATTTGCTCCTGTTTAATTTGTTCTTACTTTAGACTGATTTGACAACAACAACAGGGAAAAAAAAAAAAAAAAACTAATACAAGACTGCTGTTACCCAGCCTGTCATATAATTAAATTGTTGAGGATAAAATCTCATCCCTCTCAATCCCCATTCAATGGAGCAGTGAATCAGATAATAAAGACATTATTTTGTGATTTGTTTCGCTGTGGTTACATTCTAAAACACAGAATACAGCCACACCTCTGCACAGTGCCGAGGGAAGGACTTTGTGTGAATGCAGCCAAAACGCATGCTTCTGTCTATTCTGCTGTGCAACCTTGTGTGTGTGGCCACATCAAAGCTGTAACAAAATCATCATTCTGGCATCTTAAAAACAAATACAATGAGAAACTTTGTCTAAGCAGGATTAAGAAAAGCTCACTGATGCTTTTGTTTCTAGAAGGGCAGACTATGGTAATACACCCCTGACTAGCCTCCCCAATAAGACCATCAGACAACAACGCGCTCAAAATGCTGCTGCCAGGACACTGACAAACATCAGGAAGAGACAACACATCAGTCCAGTCCTTACATCTGTGCACTGGCTTCCAGTTAAATGCAAAATTCAATTCAAGGTCATACAGTATTTACTGTCTACAAGTCTCTCAGTGGTCTGGGCCCCAAAATACACCTGAGAGATGTTTGAGTACAGGCCTGGCAGGTGTCTCAGATCTGCAGGGAGTGGTCAGCCGGTGGTGCCCAGAGCTCCAACTAAACAAGGTCAACATGCTTTTAGCTGTGATGCTTCCCACAGCTGGAACCAGCTTCCAGTAGAACTGAGATCTGCCCCAACTGGAGCCACTTTTAAAACCACAGACTCTTCTTTTTTTCCCCACTGCTTTTAATACAATTATCTTAATTCCTACATATTGAGCCCTTTATCTGCTTTTATTTTTCTTCGCTTAGCCAGTGAACAACTGACTTCACTGTGTGGTTTAGGCGACTGTATAGACATTGATGTTTCTAATTCCCAGAAAAAAAGTGCACCTGTCTCTGATGTACTCAGAGATTAGTCTTGAAAAGACTGAAGTACAGGTGAACAAGGTATCCTGAGGGCAGTGAGAATCTATAGTCTGCCACAGCTATGCCAAAGTACTAGCTAACTACACTTGCATTTTGCTATTCTACTGTCGTAAGCCGTCCCTGGTAGGCTAGTGGTTAAGGCGCAGTGCTCTCGCCGCTGCAGCCCAGGTTTGAATCAGGGTTGCGTCAGGAAGGGCATCCGGCGTAAAACACGTGCCAAATATCAACATGCGAGTCGTCAGTATGATGATTCGCTGTGGCAAACCCTAAACGGGAAAAGCCGAAAGTGGCTTTCTTACTGACATAATTGTTTTTAATTAGCATTTATTGTTTTAATCTAATTAGCATTCTAATGTTTTATCTGTGTGCATTGTGTTATCCACTTTGAATTACCTTGGTGTATGAAAATATGCTATATAAATAAACTTGCCTTGTGTGTAGCCCTGCCTTCAAACACATACACAGCGCTGAAACTGGATATTTTTTGTGTTGTACTTCCCAATTTCCATTTATAAATGTATCACACAAAAACCAATAATAGCCCACTTGTTTCGTTTTCAGAATGAAAATTCAAAGATGTGGACTGTCGGACGTCAGAATAAGCATCACGGCGGACACCGGGTATCCAGCAGCTATGTAAAATGAACAGGGGTGACAGTTTGTCACCTTTTTTAAGCTCAATGGAAAAGGGCTCAAATTAAAATGACCAAAACTCCAGCAGTTTGCCACAATCTCTATAAAAGAGGCTTCAGTTGTTACTGAATCACACTTATATTTTAGTGTTACCTGCTGGAATGTGTTTTATACAAAAGTGTAACTGATGAATGCACCTTGATGATGACTTCCTCCACTGTCACAGAGCCGCTCAGTGGTTGGTTGGGTTGAGTTCTGGTTTCCAAGTTTACTGAGCAGGGTCTTAACACCTATTGGACAGAGTCAGAATGATGAGTCCGAGAGCGGCCGTGTGGCCTGCAGGTGAAGATGCACTAATGTTGCCACCTGCTGGTCAGGAGTGTTTCAGCTGCTGTTTGTGTTTGATTAGTTCAGTTGAGGTTTATTGTTTATTTTTCAATGTAATACAGGACACAGATGAGATACACATCACTATTTAAAGTTTTAATTCTGATTTTAAATACTGTGCCAGCTTTTTTGATTTGGTGTCATAGAAGCTTTAATCATCTCCAATAATTTCTTACTTCTTGCTGGCATGATACCAACACATGCAGATAAATTTTGACATTTTTTACTCTAAAAGTAACACACACTTAGCATCAATGCATTTATTACAATAAGCAAAGTAAAACACTTCCTCTTCCTGGTTTCATACGCCAGTTTAATGAAGCCTATAGCATGACATTTTGTAGGGATACTAAAGCTTAAATTGTTTTACTTCCACTGAATAAGCTGGCATTCTTGGGGCCTAAAAAAAGTGCCCCAGTGCTGAAGATTCTGCTGACTGACCAACAGGGGTCAGTTTTTAGTTTAATGAGGAGCTTCACTTGGACAGAAACTGTTAACCACATCAACCTGCAGGAAGCAGAACAATCTGAGAAATACATGTGCCCCCGTGTGTCGTTGTGTGAGCTTACAGTGGTGATGGCCTTGTCCTCCTTGTTTCGGATGAAGGGACAGGCGAGGACTTTCAGCGCTATCAGCTTGGCTTTCATCTTCTGGGTACCGTTTTCCTCAACCCACAGGCTTAAGTCACACTGAAATGAAGCCACCAGGGCTGGGGCATCTGCCTTCATCAGGCTTGCCACAAACATCACCTCCGGATCCAGCACCGACACCTGGAGATGTGTCTTCGGTGTGGAGGCTGCAGACGGAAGGAGGGAGGGATGTATGTACAGTATGTGTGTGGGGGGGATGGATGGATGGATGATAGATGGACAGAAAGAGACAGCGACATATAGAGTGACACGGGTAGACAGATGGAAAGACAGATGGATAGACACAAACAGGTGATGTGATGGCTTATCACAAGGTTTTGCTTTCACTAGATTTTACTTTGTCAGTGAAACTGAATAATCAAAATTTGTTATTGCAATTAGTAAAATTGATGCATACCAAAGTTTTATTTTGAACAGTTAAGAAAAGGGCTGTATTATTTCATTTAATATGGATTTTAGATCATTTATGCAATTGATTTAAAACCCATTATTTGCTGTGCTTGTTTGTTAAAATAAATTCTAATAACAGATATCAACACAGTGTCTCTTTAATTAAGGCACATGTCCGTACAAGTTCTGCCTCAGTGGGTTCCAACTCTGCTGATTTGGGACCTTTAAAACAACACATCTACATGCAGCTGCTTGTCACAAAGAAAAATCAAACACTAGGACAAGCTCCCCAAAAGAAACCTGACTTTGAGCAGCTTTCTGATCCTGTTCAGCATCTCACAGACCTTCAGATCTGTCTCAAGATTCCTTTAGGGGAACTGCTGTTTCTCCTTTACTACAGTATTAATACCTATGTGCTGTTATTTTTTGTTTTTACATCTCTTATTTGTTGTTTTAACAACCCTAAAATCCTCTTGTTTAGATGTGTTTGTGTCTCTCTGTCTTACTGAGCTTGGTGTCCTCTCGCGTTTTGGTGGTCTGTCTCAGCGGCAGTCTGTCGCTCAGTACAGAGGTGGTGGTGGGAGTTGAACTTTGTGGCAGAGCCTGAAGGAAGAAATCTGCAATGGCCATCAGAAACTCCACACTGGCACAAAGGTAGAGTTCCTGCAGAACAGCCACGACCTCTCGCTCTCCCTTACTCTGTTGATATGTCAAGTCGATCATCGCCTTTGAGCTCTCCTCGTTTCTCCGCCTAATCATCCTGCAGTCATGAGGAAAAATGGAAAATACAAACACAACAGGTGGCGATAAGGTGAGTTAACACATGGGTCACTGAGGATGAGACAATAATCAATATAATTAAACACAGCCACTGATTTGGATCCGATTTGGGTCAATGCTAAAAATAATTTCATACTAATCCAGAGACATTTTGGCAGTGTCTTATACTGCTCATTAGAACAAATAGAAACCAGGTCATGTGACCGTTACCGTGACGTCACCCTCTCCATGCCGGTCCTCAGGTCATCCAGTGTGCAGGTGGTCAGGACAGTGGTCACTTCCATGCTGCCATTGGACAGGACCCTCCCTGAAGTCTTAAGCAGGTGGAGGATGAATTCACCCAGTCTGAGGTTCTCCTGGTGCTGGAAGCCCGCAGACTGCAGGGACCACGAACAATCAGACACAAGATCCAACAACCACAGTGATCCCAAATCAGTTTATCCTGAACAGCAGCGCCACTAGGCTGAACCTGAACCAGCAGATGGTTGATTTCTGTCCTGGTTCTTCATGTGACTCACCTGTTTTGGGTCATTGCTGTATAGAACCAGACCAAGAGACTCAATAGTGAAGTTAAACTTCACAGTCTCCAGAGTTTCATCCTCCTTTTCCTCACTGCTTGCAGTCAGCTTGGCAACATCACCTGGGCACATAAAACACAGATTTTTAAAATTTATTTAACCATTATTTCACTGAGGTTTTACAACCTCTTTTCCAAGGGAGCCTTGGCAAGATGACAGCATTAAAAGTTCTAAAATGCTGGAAAAATGCATAAAGACTCAAGAAATACACAGGAAAAAAAAAAAAAAAAAAAAATCAAAAACTCTTCATTAGCTGGGAAACTGAAAGTAAGCCAACATCATTGTGTTTGTCTCTGTATATGTGAATAAAAATATCCGTGCATTATATGAATATAAACTCTGTGGTGCACACATGGGTAGAAAAGTGCTTTGTTTCTGTCTGCAGACCTGCTGGGAGACCTCCGGTTGCTCTGAGTTGCAGACTGGCCTCCTGTCTCGGGTTCACGGGCTCCAGACTGCTGGCCTCTCCTAGATTTTCCGTTAGGATCCTGAGCAGCACCTTCAGGTCATCCTGACTGAGCTCGACCTGCAGGCCCAGTACACAAACCTATTGTCAGTCAAATTCTGATAAATCATCTCCTTCCACTTAATACCTTCGCCAAGGGCGGGGGTTAATTTTACCCAATACTAGGTGAGAGAGAAACGGTATTTCAGTTTTCTGTATGCCCTGCACATATGGTTAATTGACAAAATCCTTGAACCTTTTTTTCGGCATTTGTGTGTTAATAGCATAACTCAAAAATTATTGAACAAATATGGATGAAATGTTTTTGGAGAGGTAGGGTACAGCCCACGGAACAATTGATTAGATTCTGATGCTTATTCATATAGTAATTTGGATACAGCAAACTTTTTAAAGATTCTTCCCCACTGTGAGTGCTGGGAAGGCTGCTGACTGTATGTGAGCCCCCGCTGTGGCCAAAGTGTGCGCATGCACTGCTTAGCACTCAGGGGTTTGTCTCTTCAAGCACTGAGTTAGTGACAGCTGCCTATTCACTATCAACGGAAACTGAGTGCCGTCACTCAGCCCACCCCGCTGTGTGAGACAGGGACTGGAGGAGCCAAGCGAGGCCACGGCCCACAGCTGGGGAGAGACATGCTCTAGGCAGCGACAGCTGGGCGGGAGCCTGGTGGCAGAGGTTTGGACCATTTCAATCTCTGCATGTCCAGTACAAATTCAGGTTTAGCCTAACTTAGTGCAAAGACTGGAAGAAGTCAAGAGTTAGAATCATTCCTGGCACTCTAGGGTTTAGCTTAAAGGTGAGCCACCCAAACCTGAGGATCAGTGTAGCGAGTAGGGGTGTGATGATCTATCAATCTGGACCGATGCATTGATCAAATAACCAATGATCTGATGTCACTGATACAAAGAGTAAACAACAGTGTTAGATGTTCTTTATTTTGACACTCAGCCAGCCACATCTGTATGCATTTCCCTTGAAGTGCTATTCTCTTCAAACTGGACAACAAGTGCCAGGCAGTGCAGCTAGAATTTGGAGACTCAGAATTCACTCTAAAAGTGAGAAATGAGCAGCACATAAGCTACTGAAGCGTTTGATCCGTTCAGCAGCTCTGTTGTCAGAACACCTTCTGTCAGCAGGACAGTGACTGAACACAGTCTTCACCAGAATGACCAACAGCAGACATGTACTGGACAAAAACAGTTTTCATGTAGGCTCATCAAAGTTCATGACATTTTTATGAACAGATTTACTGACTTCATTAATTTTTCCATCTTGCTACAGATGGGGGTGGAAAGTGAAACCAAAAAGCTCACAGTAGCACCAGTATGGAGCTACAGTGCCTTGCGAAAGTATTCGGCCCCCTTGAACTTTGCGACCTTTTGCCACATTTCAGGCTTCAAACATAAAGATATAAAACTGTAATTTTTTGTGAAGAATCAACAACAAGTGGGACACAACCATGAAGTGGAACGAAATTTATTGGATATGTCAAACTTTTTTAACAAATAAAAAAACTGAAAAATTGGGCGTGCAAAATTATTCAGCCCCCTTAAGTTAATACTTTGTAGCGCCACCTTTTGCTGCGATTACAGCTGTAAGTCGCTTGGGGTATGTCTCTAACAGTTTTGCACATCAAGAGACTGAAATTTTTGCCCATTCCGCCTTGCAAAACAGCTCGAGCTCAGTGAGATTGGATGGAGAGCGTTTGTGAACAGCAGTTTTCAGTTCTTTCCACAGATTCACGATTGGATTCAGGTCTGGACTTTGACTTGGCCATTCTAACACCTGGATATGTTTATTTGTGAACCATTCCATTGTAGATTTTGCTTTATGTTTTGGATCATTGTCTTGTTGGAAGACAAATCTCCGTCCCAGTCTCAGGTCTTTTGCAGACTCCATCAGGTTTCCTTCCAGAATGGTCCTGTATTTGGCTCCATCCATCTTCCCATCAATTTTAACCATCTTCCCGGTCCCTGCTGAAGAAAAGCAGGCCCAAACCATGATGCTGCCACCACCATGTTTGACAGTGGGGATGGTGTGTTCAGGGTGATGAGCTGTGTTGCTTTTACGCCAAACATAACGTTTTGCATTGTTGCCAAAAAGTTCGATTTTGGTTTCATCTGACCAGAGCACCTTCTTCCACATGTTTGGTGTGTCTCCCAGGTGGCTTGTGGCAAACTTTAAACGACACTTTTTATGGATATCTTTAAGAAATGGCTTTCTTCTTGCCACTCTTCCATAAAGGCCAGATTTGTGCAGTATACGACTGATTGTTGTCCTATGGACAGAGTCTCCCACCTCAGCTGTAGATCTCTGCAGTTCATCCAGAGTGATCATGGGCCTCTTGGCTGCATCTCTGATCAGTCTTCTCCTTGTATGAGCTGAAAGTTTAGAGGGACGGCCAGGTCTTGGTAGATTTGCAGTGGTCTGATACTCCTTCCATTTCAATATTATCACTTGCACAGTGCTCCTTGGGATGTTTAAAGCTTGGGAAATCTTTTTGTATCCAAATCCGGCTTTAAACTTCTCCACAACAGTATCTCGGACCTGCCTGGTGTGTTCCTTGTTCTTCATGATGCTCTCTGCGCTTTAAACAGACCTCTGAGACTATCACAGTGCAGGTGCATTTATACGGAGACTTGATTACACACAGGTGGATTCTATTTATCATCATTAGTCATTTAGGTCAACATTGGATCATTCAGAGATCCTCACTGAACTTCTGGAGAGAGTTTGCTGCACTGAAAGTAAAGGGGCTGAATAATTTTGCACGCCCAATTATTCAGTTTTTTATTTGTTAAAAAAGTTTGAAATATCCAATAAATTTCGTTCCACTTCATGATTGTGTCCCACTTGTTGTTGATTCTTCACAAAAAATTACAGTTTTATATCTTTATGTTTGAAGCCTGAAATGTGGCAAAAGGTCGCAAAATTCAAGGGGGCCGAATACTTTCGCAAGGCACTGTAAATGAGGTCCATATAAAGTATATTCATCTTGAACTCTGAAAAACACAAGTCCATCTAAAAAAATGGCATATGACAGGTTTTTCCAGTTAAAATGTAACTTTAATTTTCAACTACAAAACATGGTTCAGTTTCAGATCTTATTTTTTCAGTTTTAAGCTTTTGGCCCACTTATGGAACAAGGGCCAGGATTAACAAAGATGGGCATGGTCTTGGAACTGACGAGGTTGGTACCATCAGTCATGCTGCCTTCAGTAAACGTGGGAACTAGGAAAATCATGGCTCAGAATTTCCTACACTGCATAGTCAAGTAGGCAGGCCGTGTTTTTGAGGTAGTTTTAGACCTCTCATTACATTAATCATGGTTGAAAAGCAATCAATATTGTTGCATAATACAGTTTAACAGTCACAGGTGTTAACAAGGCATTTCCCACTACAAGTCTTTTGAAAAGACACAAGTGTCCCCTAGTCCCCTGTTAAGATTATGCCCCATCTTATCTTGGCACTAAAACACCACCCAGATGGCAAAGAAGATTTCAAGGTCAGTAAAAACTCAGACATTTTCCTCAGATTTTGCTTCTGGCATACTTTCAAAACCACCATCAGTCACACTGGTGCTCTTTCATTTTCCCTTTCAAGGAACCTGAATGTGTAATACTCATACCTTCATGGGCTTCAGATCTCCATCAATTTCCACAGCTGCCATACTCTTGTACCAGGAAGCCGCCAGGTTCCTCTTGATATTTAGGTGCAGGTTGACTGGTTCCAGGAGCTCGATACTGGGTTGGTCTGACCCCAGGTCCATACAGGTCCTAGAAAAAAAGCTTTTTATCTAAATTTGTGTATTAAACAACATTGTTTATTAAAAACAGTTATATCTAGTGTACTGATTCAATGAGCCGGTCTGTCTTCATTCAAAATAAGCATGAATGAACAAGTGTTTAATTTCTTCTCCCATTAAAAATACAAAACAAAATGAATTGTTTTACTTTCATAACTTGTCCTGGTGTACAGTTGCACGCAAATAAATTCTTTAATTAATCTTCCTGACTAGATTCCACACTTTTGTTCTCAGCTGTTTCTAGATCATATCAGTTCTGTTTGACTGACCTGGAGAGTTTGAGCTGCGTCAAACGAACGTCCATGTTGTCAATGATGGCTGGCAGCGGGCATCCGTTGACAGGTAGCAGAGAAAAGCTGTTTCCCACCGTGATCAGACCCAGGTCCATCACCAGTGCATCATGGGAGGTGGAAGACTGCGGGATGATAATGAGTGGAGCCTTCAGCTTGATGTCCATGGACAAACGAAAACTCTCCTGGGTGAAGTCTCGAACACTAGATGCCGCCTTCTCAGCAGCCTGAGCCGTCGCAGCGCTCAGAGCTTCTTTAGCTGTCTGGAAGTTGTTGGTGAAGCTCTGGATGATAGTGAATTGAAATTGAAGAGTAAAATGAGTTATTTACAAAGCGTTTACAAAACAAGTTAACATCAGTAAAAACTGCTACTGCACAAACCTAAAGCCGCAACTTAAAAATAACAACAAAAAAAAATAAAAACAGATACAATAAAAAAGCTAAAAAACTAAAATTTGTGTAAATGTTACATAGAAATGATCAAGTATGTCAAAACTAAGTGAAATCTTATTATACAAGGCTATTTTTACAAAATGATTTAAATGCATCAATAACTCAAGACTATATTATTTGTTCTTAAAATTTGTTCTAAGAGCAGAATGCCTGCAACAGAAGACAATGGCCTCACTGCAGTTTCAAGCCCCAAATCAGAAAAAGTTGGTATGGTGTGTAAATCTAAATTAGAAAATAGTGATGTGTAAATCATCTGTGTCCTGTAGGACACTGAAAACAGCACAGCAGCGCATTATTTGGTGTGACACCTCATCAATTTTTTTCTTGGTTCAAAAATAAACTCTCACTTCTATCCTGATGCTGCAACACATTACAAAGTTGGGCCGGTTGCATTTCAGAGCCAGTAATGATGTAAAACAGTGGACTCCATTTGAAACAGGTGATGTCAACCAGCAACTGCATCATGACTTGGTACAACAGTGGCATCCAAGAAAGGCCGAGGCCTTTAGGAGCAAAGATGGGCCAAGGACCGCCAGATGGTCAACATGTGAGAAAATCATTGAAATGTGTAAAACCAATGTTCCTCGAAGAAAGATAGTAGGGATTTGGATCTGTCGCCCTCTACAGTGCAGTACATCAAACGATTCAAGGAATCTGGAGGGATTTCAGTGCACAAGGGCCGAGGGCCAAGCCTAAACTGGATGACCGAGCTCTCCAATCCCTCACACGCCACCGCATCAAGAATCGCCACTCTGCTATCAGTGATGGGCTCAGGATGACTTTGGCTCACCTGTGTCAGGGACTACAATACATAGTTACATCCATAAATGCTGCTTGAATCTGTACTGTGCCAAAAGGAAGCCCAATGTCAACAGTGTCCAGAAGTCGACTGCTCTGGACTTGGGGGCATCTGGGATGGACCATCACAGGGTGGAAACGTGGACTCTGGTCAGACCAATCAGTGTTTCAGGTCTTTTTGTAAGGAATGGACCCCGTGTGCTCCAGACCAAAGACGACAAGGACCATCCAGACTGTTAGCAGAAAGAAGTCCAAAAGCCAGGGTCTGTCATGGTCTGGGGTTGTGTCAGTGCCCTTGTCAAAGGTCACACACACTTCTGTGATGGCTCCATTAATGCTGAACAATACACAGAGATGTTGGAGCAACACATGCTGCCTTCAAGACAACGTCTTTTCCAGGGATGCCCATGCATATTTCAACAAGACGATGCAAAACCTCAGCCTACAGTCCCCGACCTGTCCCCAGTAAAGAATGTGTGGCACATTTTGAAATGCAAATTGAGTCAACGAAGACCCAGGACTGTTGTGCACATTAAGACTTGTTTGCAGGAAGAATGAGACAAAATGACACCAGACACATTTAATCACTTGGTGTCCTCAGTCCCTAAACACCTTTTAAGTGTTATGAAAAGGAACAGCAGCATCACGTCGTGGTAAACGCTTTACTGTCCCAACTTGTTTTGGAATGTGTTGCAGCATCAGGATTGGAGTGTTTATTATGAACAAAGAATAAAATTGATGGTGTCTCATCAAGTAACGTGCAGCTATGTTGTTTTCAATGTCATACAGGACACAGATGATTTACACATCACTGTTTTCAGTTTTAGTTTTGATTTTACATATCGCCCCACCTAAAAGTAGAAAGAAATTAGGAAAAATTAAAATCACATTACAGTTGTGCTTTAACATTCTAGCAATGTGAAACTCACCAGCAGAGACATGACAAACTTGTGCAGGTAAATGACCTGGATACAGCCCACCCTTAGCTCCACTCTGCCATCTGTTTTAGAGGTGTCGGCGTAACCAGTGCCCTCTGTGGCATTGGGAGTCAGACTCATGGTGAAGCTGAACACCTCATCACCAATACTGGAGATGGCCTGAAGAAGACAAAGATTAGACCTTTTGGAAAGATGGGTGTAGCCCTAGATAGTCTGGGTGTGTGTGGGTGGTTAAGACACTCTGTCCACAGCTGGCCAAAGAGTCCAGCAGAGTACCTTTATAAGAAGAGCCTGGCCACCTGCCTGAACGACTACAGGCCAGTGGCACTCCTATCATTATGAAATGTTTTGAGAGAGTGGTACTGGCCCACATTCAGAGCAGTATACCGGACACCCTGGATCCCCTGCAGTATGCCTACCGACCCAACAGGGCCACCTCAGCTGCCCTTCATTATTCCCTTTCTCACCTGGAAAAAAGAGACTCCTACATCAGGATACTCTTCATTGACTATAGCTCCGCCTTCAACACAGTTATCCCCCACAAACTGTACACACTAGATCTGTACCCCACCCTCTGTGACTGGCTCCTGGACTTTCTGAATGGCAGGCCCCAGTCTGTCAGGATTGGCAACAAGACTTCAGCCAGCATCACTACAAACACTGGCACCCCACAGGGATGTGTCTTCAGTCCCATCCTCTACACCCTGTTCACCCATGACTGTGTCGCCTCCCACAAAGACAACATCATCCTTAAGTTCGCGGATGACACCGCAGTGATAGGTCGCATCACTGGTGGGGACAAAGCAGCCTACAGGAAGGAAATGGCCAGTTTGGTGTCATGGTGCAAGGACAATAATCTCAGCCTCAACACGGACAAGACGAACAAGATGATAGTGGACATGAGGAAGGAGAGGAGATCTCATCAGCCACTGTTCATCCAGGGGCTTGAAGTGGAGAGGGTGAGCAGCTTCAAATACCTGGGTTTCCACATCAGTGAGGACCTCACTTGAACACATAACACCACACAGCTGGTCAAGAAGGCTCAACAGCGACTGTACTTCTTGAGGAGTCTGATGGCAGAGGGAAAAAGTTTTTCAGTCTAGAAGTCCTGCATTTCACACTTCTGAACCTCCGGCTGGAGGGTATGGAGGCGAACAGTCCATGCTGGGGGTGGGTAGGGTCCTTGAGGATGGAGGCACCTTTCCTACACACCCTGTGGTGGTAGATGCTCTGCAGAGAGGGCAGTAGAGTCCTGGTGATCTTCTCCACAGTCTTTACTCTCTGCAGGCACTTGCGGTCCACAGCATCAGCCTCCTCAACAGCTGACAGGAGTTTATTACCAGGAAATATGTCATGTTATCAGAATCTGCTTTATTGGCCAGGTGTGTCAGACACACGAGGAATTTGACTCTGGTACATCAGCCCTCAAAGTGAATGTACATATACCCACGCAAGGTGCAAGTAAACAAACATAAGGCTAGTATAACATAATAAGCAGTATTAACAGCAACAAACTGTGCAAACGATGCAAAATAAGCAGTATAAACAGACAGTAAACAATGCAGACACAGGAATGCTCATTGTGAAATGAGATAAATATGAATAAAAATAGAGATCTGTACAGATCTGTATAATCTGTACAAGTGTTCATCAAAGCGACAGCCCGGGGGGGAAGAAACTGTCCTTGTGCCTGGTTGTCTTGGCATACAGTGACCTGTAGCGCCATCCAGAGGGGAGGAGTTCAAACAGATTATGTCACGGGTGTGAGGGGTTCTGCAGTGATCCTCTCTACCCTCCTTTTGACAAGTGAGGTGTACAGGTCCTCCATGGAGGGCAGGCTTGCACCAATTACCTTTTCTGCAGTCCTGATTGTCCACTGGAGTCTGTTCCTGTCCTGTTTGGTTGCTGAGCCAAACCAGACAGTGATGGAGGTGCAGAGAACAGACTCGATGATGCCTCTGTAGAACTGCATCAGCAAAGGTCAAACTTCCTGAGCTGGAGCAGGAAGTACATTCTCTGCTGTGGCTTCTTGATGATGGTCCTGATGTTGGACGTCCACTTCATATCCTGGGAGATGGTGGAGCCCAGGAACCTGTAGGACTTTACAGTGCTGCCAAGTGGGGGGGGGGTTCTTCCGTAAGTCCACTGTTATCTCCACTTTGAGCAGGTTCAGCTCCAGGTTGTTGTGGCTACACCACAGGACCAGCTGCTCAACCTCCTGTCTGTAGGTTGACTCATCACGGTCTCAGATGAGACCAATGACCGTTGTCTCATCTGCAAACTTTAGGAGCTCGCCAGAGGGGTCCTTCGAGATGCAGTCGTTGGTGTAGAATGAAAACAGCAGAGGGGAGAGCACACATCTCTGGGGGGCACCTGTGCTTATTGTCCGGGTGCTGGATGTGGTTTTCCCCAGCCTCACCTGCTGCTTCCTGTCTGTCAGAAAGCTAGTAATCCACTGACAGGTGGGGGCAGGCACAGTGAGCTGGGTCAGTTTGGAGTGGAAGATGTCCAGGATGATGGTGTTGAATACCAAGCTGAAGTCCACAAAGAGGACCCACGCATAGGTCCCTGGGGAGTCGAGGTGTTGCAGGATGTAATTCAGTGCCATGTTCACTGCATCGTCCACTGACCTGTTTGCCTGGTAGGCAAACTGGAGGGGTCCAGCAGGGGGTCAACGTTGTCCTTCAGGTGGGCCGACACCAGTCTTTTAAAGGACTTCATAACTACAGATGTCAGGGCGACGGGTCTGTAGTCGTTCAGTCCACTGATGGAGGTTTTCTTGGGGACTGGAATGACGGTGGAGCATTTGAAGCAGGAGGGGACTTCACACAGCTCCAGTGACCAGTTGAAGATGAGTGTGAAGATAGGGGCCAGCTGATCAGCACACACTTTCAGGCAGGAAGGGGTCATGCCATGTGGGCATGTTGTTGATCTTTTGTTTTTTAAAGAGGCCTTTTCACAGATCGTTAGAGGTGGGGGGCTGGAGGGAAGGGTGGTGACTGTGGGGGAGGAGCCATTGGGTCGATCTGAGGAAGTGCTGTTGACTAATGCACATACAGCTCCCGTGTAGCATACATTGTCTTATTATATTCTTGTATATTTTTATTATATCTCTGCATTTGCTGCTTTAAAGTGCCTTAGGTTTTGTGCTACTTATTTATGTACTTTATATTTCATTTGTATTGTGTGGCATTCATGTGGACGGCAAAGTAAGAATTTCATTGTACAGTGAAACGCGTTTCCGTACTGTGCATATGACAATAAACACTTTGACCTTGACCGTGATAAGAATAAGTCTTGGGTGTTTCAAGTGATTTTAGAAATGCCCATGGTAGTCAGGAGTGATATAATATAGTCCAGCAAAGTTTCACTATGTCAACAGTAGTCTGAGGTAGCTTAATACATGTTTGTTGCAGAGGGTGGTGTTGTAGTTCAAGGTGGTCCAGGATAGTCTGAGGTTTTCAATGGCAGTCTGACTTAGTTTACGTAGGTGACTCTCAGGGAGTCCAGGCTAGTCTTGCGACAGATGTGTGAAAAGTTAAAGTCATCAGCCCCGATGTGAGTATTAGAGGTAAAGAAATGAATAGATAGCGGACAGGTCAATGAGCTGGTAAAAACATGAGCCTGAATGAAGCATTCAGATGACAGTTTACTCTGTTTCACATTTAAGTTAATCTCTATCAGAGTAATCAGCATAAGACAACTGGCTCACCTCCTTGTGGACACTTTTGGGATCAACATTCTCAATGATGAAATCTCGTAGGCAGGCCGAGATATGAGTTTGTGGTCCTTGCATCAGCAAAGAGCCATTAATACCTGAAAGGCACAACAAATTTCTTACATTAGGATTGGTGCTGACAAACGATATCAGACAATAGCTCAGCTGTGGTTTTCTACTAAGGATTAAAAGGTTAGCAGTGTCAAAATAAACCATGGTAAAATTTCCAGTGGTCAGTACTGCTGCTTAAAATTTTAGATATCATTAAAACCACGGTTGACTAGCAGGCTTCGACAAACTCATCTACTGAAGGGTTAAATACTGTCCAAGACCAACCAACCCTAGCTGGAGGTTCTCAGACGCAAGCACAGTCTGCAACATGGGTTTGCTCGGATCAGAGAAAACACGGCAGAATGTGGTGACAGGCTGAGTGACAACGCTACGGAAAGTTTTAATCCATCTAAGAAAACTAAGTCTGAAGTGTGGAGTCCTGAGGGAGGCAATTGAAGATGGTCACCCTGTCTGTAGAACATGCAGGAAACAACTGCTGCGGAAGGAGGCAACAGTTTAAATCTTTGAGTCGTCGTGACCATCAGCCAGTTACCTTTCAGCTCAGTGCAGAATGTGAGGACTTCAGAACAGGCCACACAGCTCGTCATTAGGCTGTCAGTGCTACCTGGTCTTGTAAAAACACTTCACGTTCTGCTGCTGTATGTGTTGCGTGTCTGTCAGCCCGTGGCACGCAATAACACGCTACACAGTGACGTCACCCAACAACATATTCTGTTCATTTAAAATCCGACAGTGGTGGACTTGGTTGAGAAACTGTTTTCCCACAGGAGAAACACTAGAATCCTCTGGGCTGCTTACAACTACTTTCACTGTCTTAAGACTTTTGTTTGTTTGCATGTGCTCAAAGGAGAGGATTAAATATAAATGTGTGTGAGAAAGGGAGACTTTAATAAAGACTAATTAACAATACATCTGCTATTCCCTTGCTTACAGAGTGGGCATGGAGCAGCAGGAAAGCCCAGGGCCTCCCCAAACCCACATTTGATACATTTTCCTATGTTTACAGAAGGCTACGGCCATCGGCTGTGTTGTTTTTAATGTTTATGCACACATAATGCATACCCACACTAATAGTTATTTGTGGTTTTCAAAATAAAACCTTAAATGAATGATTTCCATTAGTCCAAGTACTTTTTGAACATTTTCAACCGTACCGTGATTATTTTGGCCACTATAACTGTGACGTTAAATTTTGATACAGTTACATCTCTGTTTTGTACCTTGGATCTTGATGTCAGCCATGTTGCAGCTCTGGTCACACACCAGAACACTGAAGGCTCCCAGCGTTATCATAATATGTAGGCCGACAACCTCGCAGTCTGCAGAAGACACCAGGGCAGCTAACAAGAAACAAATTTAACAGTTAAAACAGTGAGATAAGTTCAGTTTTACTCAATGAACCTGGGGGGAATGTTCAGCCATTTAGACCCACAGTTTAATATTTTATTTTCACTATAGTTAATTTGCAACTTATTATATATGTGTGAGTCTGGCTCCGTTTATGTGTGGTACTGACTGGACTTGGCAGACACAGTTTTGTCCTCTATTTTCGGTTTGATTTCTCTCTCTGAGGACAGCATACTGCCAGATGACAGTGCTGCCAACAGAAAGTTGATGGCTGAAAGCAGAGCCTCTGTGTGCAGCATGAAGTCAAGAGAGGCGAAGGTCACCTGGAGACAGAAAGAGCAAGACTAATAGTAACCTGGTAATCTACAGGTCTGTAATTTCATAAAACTTCTTCAGAATTCTTGAAAATTATGAGACAATAAAATAAATAATTGCTGTGCTGCACTGCTGTCTGCAGAATTAGCCTTCATGGAGCTAAACTAATTTTTTTTCAAAAACAGACTGAAATTGTCAAACTGTATGCAGATAAAGACTCAATAACAAGCATGTGTACAGGTGTATGCGTACAAGTGTGTGTGGATAAACAGTCACTCACATTTATCATCTGCTCCGTGTTCTTGTAAATGGTGGAGAAGCTCGGCCCTGAGCGGTCAGCCTAAGTATAAACAAACCTCAAGTTCAGGCAGATCAAAAATATTGAATTTCGGGTCTTTTATTCTATTCTCTGCTCCTGGATCATCTCGCATAGACCTATTTATCTCAACAGGCAATCATAATGTGACTTAGTGATATGCTCACCTTGACATACTGCACTTTGAGCAGTTCAGCTCCAGGCTCCACTGAAGAGCTGATGAGACACAGCGGCTCGCCACTCGAGTCTGAAACAAGATAAAACCATGAAAACATTACAGGACACCATAAATACAGTACAATGCAGTATGCCAGTTACAGAGGAATTATCATTAATTCATGCTCTACTGGGAGGCTCTGACCTTTGAACTCCAGGCACCTCATGGTGATCTTCTTGATGTAAGCTGTGGCACACATGTCGTACTTCCTGACTTTGGTGTCGATGCCCAGGTGAGCAATTTGAAAGACCAGGAAAGGTGAATCTTCTTGCTCTCTGGGTTTTTTCAGGGTCAGGAGCACCTTGAAGAGGAAACAGGGAAGTCCATCAGGATGATTGATACCTGACCAGATCTGCATCTACAGTACCATGTGAGTATCAGCTTTGGTTGTTTAGGTTTTCGTGTCGTTTCCAAGACCTCAGCTGACCTTTAAAGTTGGAGTAAAGCAAACTCTAATTTTCTTCTAAAGATGTTATACATGTTAGAAACTTGTTGCTGAAAATATATGAAAAGACTGAGAGCTATGTAGTGCTGAATTGTGGAGTTAGACCGTTAAGTATTTGTTCATCACTTCTGAGTTCAGGTTTTTTCAGGCAGGTCAGAAAGCGTGTCTTAATGATGCACTGGAACCATCCTTAACATAACCCTTCCCCTCGACAGTGTAATGTTATAAAGGCTAGAGTGCACAGAGCTCTATACCTGCATTAGTTTTTAGGGGCACGCGATATGAAAGACAAAACCTTACAGCTATAGTTGTGTGTTTAAAAGAAATACCATTAATGCTGCCGCCTCAGTATTAAACAATGACAAAAGCAGGAACACATGAATGGTAAATGTGTTGGAGCCCATCTGCACTGGCTGTATTTGGTGGAGGGAGAGAAGACAATGGCCACGCTGCAGACAGAGCACCACAGTTAGCTGTTAGCCTAACAAGCTCGCAGACTGTGGGCAAAGCTTGAATTGTGGCTTTAAATTTATGCTTGTTTCACAAATGTTTCCTAAATAAATTACTCCTAGTGGCTTTTTACTCAAAGGTTTTATTGCATGAACATTAACGAGCATAGGTATTGCTAACGTGTAGTTTCACTTCTCCTGGGCTCCCCGTCTCCACTGCTGCGACACCAGCTGTCTGCTCCGTCTGTGTAGAAGCTGAGCACTGCCTGTTTTCATTCAAACACTAACACAAAGGAGAAGCAGCTCCATAAACACCAAAACTGTGTTTCTCATGTCACTCTGTGGTTTTTGATAAAATGCTCCTGTAGAGCCCGGGCGCAGTAGCACCAGTTCTCCTGTTTGACTGCAAGTTACTACACCTACTACAGCCTACAGTTTGCTAACTAACTAGCTATGCCTTCTTCCCGCACATGGATCTTTCATACGTGTTCTCCCTTAATACGATGAGAACAGGCATCTCATTTCTGCAATTGGGCGTGGTTTCAGCATCTTCACCTGACACACCCCCAGCAACAGAAAATACTCCTTATTTTTCATGATATTGAAAGCTACTTTTATAAACTTGCCAATCTTTTTAATCATTCAAATTTGGCTGGGTTGTTAAGAACATCTTCCTGTGGAGTGACAAACTTAGAACACATTTATTTCTGCTGACTTTAAGTGACACAGTCCGATATCCGATTTCTTAACTGACTTCGTACCTCTTTAATTTCAAAGTTGAGGAGAACACTGATGGTGTTTTCAGTCGGAATGCCACTGGTGGCAGCCATCATGCCACCGGATGTCGTCTGTAATGACACCACCTCCACCTGCTGCTCAGCAAGATCTGCCTTCTCTGAAAAGAAAAACTGGCCTTTAAACAAAGGTTTCTCTGTCTTCAGATCTTCTTTTAGTACCTAATTAGTTACGCCAAGGTGATGAAGTGAAATATAGGTTGATACATAACAATGGCTATTACCCTATCAGATTTCCCATCATACACCAATAGTTAGCTTACCTTGAGCCAAATGGCCTTTAACACTAGCACTCTTCCCTTTACTTCCTTCCCCGATGTTCTCCACCAGGGTCTTCATTAGCACAGAGAGGTCTTCCTCACCTAGACTCATCTGATGGACACACAAAACACTTATGTCTCACTACGAAGAATTGTTTTTTTTAAATTTCAGTTTAACCAACGGCATATCTGAGACCTACACTGAGTGACCGGAGGACTCCCTGAACCTGAACTGCGGGTACATTGGTGAACCAGGAAGCAGCCAGGTTGCGGGTGACAAGCAGCTCTAAGTTGATTGGCTGAAGGATCTCAACATCCGGCTGCAAAGTGTCTTGCTTCAACGTGGTTCTGAAAACACATTTATTCAGTTTTCAGTTTTTATGCATGTGGTCATCATCACAAATATTTGTTTCCAAGTTTCTTTGATGCAGTGACTTCATAAAGGGTTAGATGGTGAATTACTGCGGCTTTTATGATAACAGCTAACATGTTAGCACACTCGTATTAGTGACAGTATTTCTCTGAGCTTCTATTTTCTCTCTACTGGACTGTTTACTCCCTGTGATTGCTCACCGTTTTTTCTCCTCAAGTTTTCATAAGTAAGCTCTCTGAGCTAGCTAGCTTACCTAGTTAGCTTGATAACATCATCCTAAAGTTTGCGGACGACACCACAGTGATAGGTCACATCACTGGTGGGGACGAAGCAGCCTATAGGAGGGAGGTGGCCAGTCTGATGTCTTGGTTCAAGGACAGTAATCTCAGCCTCAACACGGACAAGACAAAGGAGATGATAGTGGACATGAGGAAGGAGAGGAGATTTCATCGGCCACAGTTCATCTGGGGGCTCGAAATGGAGAGGGTGAGCAGCTTCAAATACCTGGGTGTCCACATCAGTGAGGACCTCACTTGGACACTTAACACCACACAGCTGGTCAAGAAGGCCCAACGGCAGCTGTACTTCCTGAGGAGGCTGAGGAGGTTTGGCATGTCGCCTAGGATCCTTTGCAACTTCCTCAAGGACCCCACCCACCCTCAGCATGGACTGTTAACGCCCCCACCCTCCAGCCGGAGGTTCAGAAGTGTGAAATGCAGGACTTCTAGACTGAAAAACTCTAACTATCATCAGACTCCTAAAAGGCTGACAGGGGTTTACAATCAGGGATTACTTCATGTAAATGCACCTGTACTGTTTACATTCTCAGTTGCACATGCATAGTTGCACACCCACTGCTGACTATTGTACATACAGCTTCAGTGCAGCATACATTATTGTGTTTTCAATATATTTTTGTTTACTTGTCTTATTTCTTTTCACTCACTGTTTAAAGTGCCTTTAGACTTTGTGCTACTGTTTATCTACTTTACATTTCACTTGTGTTGTTTGGCATTCAGTGTAGATGGCAAAGTAAGAATTTCATTGTGCAGGAAAACACGTTTCCATACTGTGCATATGACAATTTGAATCTTGAATCTGATCACTAACAGGACACTAAGTTACCAGATTTTATTAGAGCTGTATCAATATGACATCCTCTTGTCTCCTAAGTGTGCATAAAATACATCCCCGTCGATGAGCAGTTTATCTGAAGATGAAACTGGACAGATAAGCTACACTAGCCTCCTCCATTGTGAACTCTGTTCACTCAATGGACAGCTCTGTCATGATGACTTGTTACGGGTCAGTGGTGCATATTCAGAGGACAATGTTTATCAAAGATGAACTCAACACAAAAACAAATATACTCTGTGGCCAAAAAGTGGGTTTGATTTTCTCACATCACAGTTCAGTGATTTCTGACAAAGTTTTTAGAATGATCCCTGCTCATGTCTACTGATTTATGATAATCAATCCTGATACTCAGAGTTTCTTCATAGGTATGTGTTGGTACCTGGAGAACTTCAGTTGTGCCAGTTTGAGTTCCATCTTCTCCACCACCGCTGGCAAAGAGAAATCTTCATGTGGCAGCAGAGAGAAGCTGTTTCCCACCGTGATCAAACCCAGATCCACCACCACAACATTATGAGAGGTAGAGGACTGGGGGATGATGATGAGCGGAGCCTTTAGCTTAATGTCCATGGACAGACGGAAACTCTTCTGAGCGAAGTCTCGAACGCTGGATGCTGCTTTCTCAGCAGCCTGAGCTGTTGCAGCGCTCAGAGCTTCCTGGAAGTTGTCGACAAACATCTGAAGGACAAAATAAATTAGTGAAGCAACAAATAACTACTGATCACATGATGAAGATTCATGGAAAGACGCCATGAGAAAGCACAGTCAGAGGGAACAATGAGGTATTCACTGCCTGGAAGGGGTGTTCAGGTTCATTTCTGTGTCATAAAAATAATATTGCTGAATATCTTTTGACCAGAGAGCAAAAACAAATTTTTCTCATTTTGGTCATGGATCAAACATTAATGTAACACGAATAAAGTTCAAAAGGTCAAAAACCACTTTCAAGGAGGGAAGGTCACAGGCAGAGGTCTTGTGGCAAACAGGGGGCGTGGCAGTGTGGGTGTGAGGGTTAATGATGGCAGCTGAGTGAGTTGCACAACACATATGAAGGAAATGAGCTATAATTATTGTCACATGCATGTGAAAAGCATTCCATTATCTTCCATTGCTTTACTGCTTGATTTTTGGCAAAAATGTGCAAAGTTTCTCACTGCATAGACACTGTACGAATAATAGGATGGCACACGTTAATGGAGGATGCTTATGCTGAATTTTTTACAATTTGTGGTGGTTAGTTTTGTTGAAAAGCATTGTAGACACAGAGCAGGTGGTATTGCCAAGAAAGGCTGGGCAAAGAGTGAACAGAGAGCACTAGTGTGTTCATAATTACAGCTTCAACAAACTGTGAAATCACTACTGACTTTCATTTAATGCCATTTTCTTAATAAATCTCTGTGCAATAACTGCCACTGCTACCATGTTAACCCTTCTCTGAGAGTCCAGATGAGCTCAACAACAAACAACTGCTACTGCTGGAAAACACATCAAACACTACACACAGGCTCCAAGCTGTCCTTTAAACAAATCAAACTGAAGGAGTTCACAGAAATGTTTTGTGAAATACTTAGCCACTCAAGTTTTTCTATCAGGACACATGCTTTTTGAAAACCTGCCTGAAACCAAATAAAACACTGTCAACTGTAACAACATCTGAAGAGAGAGAGGCATGGCAAATAAAACTATCACAGCAGCTGCAGCAGGTACCAAACCAGAGTGACGGGAGCCAGACTCCCAGGGAACAAAACTCTCTTATCTTGACCTTCTTTTTCGGTTAGCTGTCTCAGCTAACACTGGAACCAACAGCTTGCTAACCTGCAACCACGCCAATAGAGCCAAAACTCCCACCCCTGACAGTGACCTTCTCTGATTGGCTAGAGAGTGTTATCCTGGTCAGAAACCTTCTCTGAACTGCTACCAGGCTGTTTGATCTGTCTGTGTCACAGGAGCCTTTGACAGCAACTCTCCCCCATTAAGATGTGTTTTGGGGAGTGTTACTACTATTAAAAAATGTTTTTTAAATGCTATATAATTTAGACTTAAGAACAATTAGACATCTTTGCAGCTCAGCTGCTGAATTTTTGCACTGAAACAACCCAGCAAACAAAAAACTGATGTTATTTAATGTATAAATGTGACTTTCAGTTTAACAGTGGACTCTGAAATCCCCAGATTTGAACAGACAAAGGCAGCAATGTGTTCGATGTGATGAATGAGCAGCAGGTTTGGTGTTCTGATCAATGTAACAACATCATCATCCTCTCACATCCAGGGAGAAGCATTACAATGATTTCCTAATGTTCGTTTCAAAATGCCAAGCTCCTCTGCTCTGATGCTTATATAAACTGTTTAAACTGCTGTCATACTGAGTTTTCTACTCTTCATCCCTCTGGGTCAAACTCATTCTAACATCATCAAAATGAGTTCGCTCTCATTCAGATTAACCCAGGTCTATGACTAAAAACCAGAGGAGGAGTCAAGGACCAGGACTGTACCCTACTGAAAATCTTAAGCCAGGTGATATTTAAAGCAGACTGAAGGTGCAGTGACGCTAAAGCCGGTTTGATGCAGTTCAGAGCTGCATGCAGGAAGCTGTACCTCATCAGCACACTGAAAGCTAAAAGAAGCCTGAAAGAATAAAACATCAACAAGACAAGAAACATGAGAGACAGAGTAGCAGAATAACAGAACAGCAAACCACTACAATTAGGTTCATTTTAAACATTTAAAAGGCTGTAAATTCTCCAACAGTGGCCTTTTATTTCCCTGAGGTGGAGACAGAGCTCAGTTCCTTCTTCACCACATGCCAGGTGTGTTTGGCTCATAATCATTTGTATTTTTAATGTGGTGATAAATTTAAACCAACATCTGTAATAAAAACAGAATTATAATTTACATGTTGTATCTATCAAATATTAAGCACTGCCTAAGGTACATTCTGCAAAAAAACTACAAAGTAGAGTAGGAAGCTTTTTTGTTCTCCAACTTTTTAAAACACTTTTTTTTGCATTTTTGTTTGTTTTGAAGCACAGTGTAGCTAACTTCCACAACACTACAGTTGAGTTCAAAGGTTTGCACCCCCTCACTTTGAAATGGCAACAAAAAAAAAAAGTCATAAAATTCTCATCAGCATATTTAGTGCAAATTCAGCTAGTACAAATGTTTCTTCGACAGAAGCAACAAAAATGGTCAGGAAGTATATAAACAAAGTAAAATAACAAAAATCATATCAGTGCTAAAGTTTGCATCGCCCTTTATGAAATGTTCTCCAATACTTTGCATGTCTTCTGGACACTGGGAAGGCCTTTGTAAAACATTCACCTTATTCCTTTTAAACCATTCCTGATGACTTTGTGCTTTGGATCATTGTCTTGTTGAAGGATGGGGTTAAGGTCATTTTTAGCTTTGATTTAAAATCTTCTGACACTGGGCTGTACTCGTTCTTCCTTCCACTTTATGCAGAGCTCAAGTGCCTGATGCAGACATATACTCCCAAAACATTAGGGAGCTGCCACCATGTTGGACTATGGGAATGGTTTTTCTCGCCACACATACTTGTGTGAATTATGACCAAATAATTCAACTTTGGTCTCATCAGGCCACATGATCTTGCTCCTTAGCAAACTCCAAGCCTGCTGCCTTATGTCTACAAGTAAACAGTGGCTTCCTGCATGGTTTTCTCCCAGACAAGCCCGAACTGTGCAGACTATGCTAGACCGCGGAGATGTGGACTCTTATTCCAGTTGCCTCCAAGGACTTTGTCAGGCACCGTGCTGTTTGTTTTGGATTTTTGCATAGCTCTCAAGCAAGTTTCCTAGCACCTTGCTCAGTTACAGTATCATTGAAAACCTGTGGATTGATCTGAAAAGGGCTGTACACAGCAGACAACCAAGCAATCTGATAGACTTGGAACAAGTCTGCCATAAAGAACGAGCTAAAATGGCACCTAAAAGGATCCAAACACTGCTCAGAGGGAACCCAGAGAGGTTGGAGGACATACAAGGTATTAGAGAACATTTCATAAAGGCCGAAACTTTAGCACAACTTTAGATATGATTTTCATTATTTTACTGTAACTTTGTTTATACACTCCCTGACCATTTTTATTACTTCTGTTGATGAAGGAACATTTATACAAGCTGGATGTGCATTAAACATGACGATGAGAAAAAAAATTCTTTGTCTCTTTTTGCAATTTCAAAGTACAGGGATGTAAACCTTTGCACTCAACTGTAAATAAATGATTTACTGTTACTACACTACACCATTATTTGAGAATTTACAATAAAATGAAAGGTAATAAAAGCTAATGCTTTTTAACCACTGTGGTGAGGTTATGTTTAAATGACCAGACAAAGAACAGGAAACAGCACCTAGACAAAGAATTAGTGACACACTCCATACAAATAAATAGAATGATTTTTTTTTTTTTTTAAATAGACTGTAAATCCATAACATCCATAAGAATTTGATGCAACTGAAAACAGAAACCACCACACAGAACCCGTGTGATGTTGTAACCAAAATATGTTTCTAAGTATATATGGAAATGTGCATGTGTATCTAGCATGTAAAGGTTTGGCCAAACTCCATTTTTAGTCAGCTTTCGAAGGCAAAAGAAGCATATCCAACTCTTGCAGCAAACAGATACTAAAACATGTCCATGCATTCTTATGTTACAAACTTAAATATATGTACCTGTACTTGCAACATACTCAGAACCTCATTAACTCTTTACTGATTAGTTCTGACTTGCAAGATGTGTTAAAACTCAACAACCATATTCTCTAAGCAACCACCTAAAATGAACAAATCAGGGGAGGCTGTAAAAAGACTTCGAAGCACTTCTATCTTGAAAATTCCTCTTTCCAAATGACTAAGAAATGAGGCACTGTAGAAATCAAGACAAGACATGAAAGAAAACTCTGCAAAAGGGCAAAGCGAAAACTTCCATGAGACGGCAGAGGAGCTACAGGAAGTTGTAGCTAACACAGCAAGGTGGTGCAGTGTTCACTGCACAGGGTTGACATGAAGAGTCGTCAGAAGAAAACCTTACCTGGCACCTCATCACAAAAAGCAACATATGAAATCCGCACAGCAACACTGTGCCAGAGTGGCTCTGGAAGCAAGATCTATGGACAAATGTAGTTACAGCTGAGCTGTTTGGCCACAATCACCAAAGGTACAATGGAGAAAAAAAGGGGCAGCATTTGATAAACAGAACACTTAGTTACAGGGCTAGGCTGGGGCCACCATGATCCTCCCCTCCCCTCCCCTCTCCAGCTATATGCCACCACTACCCATCACTGTGTGTCTCCTCTCTCCCGTAGTGTGTCCTCTCTCTCACCTGACCAGTGTTTGATTGATTGTTGTTGTGTCTTGTTGCTTTTCTTCTTTTGTCTCTCCTCTATCCACTCACCCCAACCAGTCAAGGCAGAAGGCCGCCCACCAAGAGCCGGGGTCTGTCAGAGGTTTCTTCTGTTAAAGGGAGTTTTTCCTCCCCGCTGTCGCCAAGTGCTGCTCAGGGGATTTGTTGGGTTTTCCTCTATAATAATAATAATAATAATAATAGTAAGGTCTAAACCTTACTATGTCAAGTGCCCTGAGATGATTGTTGTTGTGAACTGGCACTATATAAATAAAAATGAGTAAAACTCAAGTGAAATGAAACGTTCACCATGGAGGTGGAGATATTCTGGTTTTTTGCTTGTGTGACAGCCAGCAGAAAGAGTAGGTGAAAATCCCTACCTCAAAAACCAGAAAACTTCTCAGTTTCTACAGAGGACTTCTGAGGCTTTGTCAGAGGGTACCATTCTCGGTTTGCTCCCTAACCAAGGCCCTTCTCACGTGGTTACTCAGTCTGGTCAGACACCCAACTCTTGGAAGGGTCCAGACCATGATTCCAGACTTCTTCCTTGTCACAATTATTGAGGCCACTGTGTAAACTAGTACATAAACTCAGCAACTTAGAATTACCCATCTGAGTCTACTCATGGATGATGGATTTTCGCATGCACAGAACACAAACTGTCAGGATAGGAAGGATAGGATCAAACATATTTAACCCTTATCCTGAGAACAGGTAAAATTTGCAGAACACACCACTATTGTTTAAACCCAAGAAGATCATTGTAGACTTTAGGAGATCCAGAAAGACAACGCACCCTCCACTTCACATAAATGGGGAGGAGGTTGGCACTGCTGACATCAAATTTCTAGGAAATTTGCTAGGAAAGATGCTATAACTGGCAATCTTACATGGTCCTTCAACACATCCCACTTGGTAAACAAAGACTTTTCTTTCTCAGAAAGCTGAAACAAGTTGTCCCACTCTCTTGGCTGTTGGGAAACATCTACAGAAGCACCACAGAGGGCATCCTCTGCCAATGGCCAGCTGCACAGCAGAGAATAGGAAGGACCTGGCTTGGGTCGAGTAAGCAGGGCAGAAGTTTGTGTGAGCTGTGCTACCAAACCTGTGTAAGCTGGCTGCCTAAAAAGGAACGCTAGCCAACATGAGGAGAGACTCAACCCACCCAGGACACTACAGGATGTACCTGAGCACAGTTTGGAGCCACAACAAAGGCTCCACTTTCGTAGAGGAGAGGCTGCATTTTTTTTTAATCTTCACACATTTGCCTATTGTCTAAAACCATGTTTTCACTTTGTCCTTGTGGTTACTGAGTGAAGATTGATGGGTAAAATGTAGTTTCATCCATTTAAAATTAAATCTACAACACAGTAAAGTGAAGAGGCCTAAAAGTTTCTGAAGCTACTATAGCAGAGGGCCTGAAGTTACTATTGAATTTTTTATGTTAATGAGCAAAGATGCATTATACTTTGTGCAGCAGATAAAAATTTGAAGAGAGCCTCATTTTTAATGGACGTTTGCTTCAAGAGTTGTATTTCCTCCTTTTCACAAAAAAAAAAAAAAAGCATATACATAAGTCTATGTGTGTATGTGTACAGAGGTACGTCTGTCTAAAAATCTGACCAGCAGTGACATGAGGAACTTGTGCAGGTAGACGATCCGGATGCAGCCCAGACTCATCATGACCTTCCCGTCCACCTTCGACATGTTGCTATAGCCCTCACCCTGTGTCGCCCCTGGAAACAAGGTCAGTTTGAAGACGAAGACCTCCTCACCCATGATGGACACTGCCTATAATAAGAGCAGAATAACGCGATGGAGTCCAATCAAAAATAAGTGTCATAGCATAAGTAGCTACTATACACAATAAATCAAGTATTAAATACAACACATACAGTACAACGACATTAATAGCAACTATAAAATCAGTGTTACAAGGTTGAGGTAAAATGTTGGTAGCATGAAACAAAATTAGCATCACTTTAATATAAAACACATCAAAGGGTCGCAGCAATTTTGCAACATGACAATATAAAAAAAGTCAGGATGATGAGAAATTTCATTTGTATGATCAAAATAATTAAATTTTCCATTTCCCAAAACAGGCTCCAGTGTAACATTCAGGATTCTCAGTACATCGCCATACAAACAGACCTTTCTGTGGATGGTTCTGGGGTTGACGTCTGTGACCACGATGTCTCGAAGTCGAGCGAATACCTTGGTTTCCTTCACCTGTACCAACACCGACGCATCGATTCCTGTGGCAGTGAAACAATTTGTAGTTCTGGAGCTTAATAAATATAAAGTTTGTGTTGTGATTGCCTCTTAAAACATCTCATACCTTGGACTCTGATGTCAGCGATGCTCTGGCAGTCGTCACACACCTCCACATGGAAACAACCCAACACAGCGAACAGTTTGAAACTAAAGATGCCGCCATCTTTTGCTCCTTTAGACACTGCAGAGGGAGCAGAAGTTTCCTGTCAGATACAGAACATCAGATGGTACAGACTGACATCTGTGAGAAGGCAGTATGTACACACCTGGTTGGCCCTGTCCGGTCTTCTCCACCCGTTTTTTGGGGTCTTGGTCTCGGGCAGCGTGGAGTTGTGGCGGCACGACGCTGTTCAGGTAGTTAATGGTAGACAGCAGAGCTTTAGTGTGGAGGAGGAAGTCCAACGAGGAAAACTCCACCTGTAACACCACCAGGCAAACAGCTGAGACACTTGTGAACATCTGGCAGTCTGACCAAAACAATTAATTTTAAAATCTACTTTAACAAGTTTATTTTATTTCAACATTCTAGACCATGAACCTGTGGCTGTTTAATACTGTATATATTTAACAATTAAACCACCTATGTAAAAGTTTGTTCATTTTTAAAGGCATTAAAGAGCTCCTTCTACTAGTGTAGGAGAACAGTCCCAAATAATAAAAGTTAAACTTACACATTTTGCTTCTAGACTGGGAGTAAAACATGTTCTCTGCTGTATTAACTTATAAAATGACTCCAGCTTGTGCTGAGATTTAAAACTGCAGGCAGGTCCAAACAATGATTACCCCCTCATCACTGCCATCTACTGTTATAGTGGACCCCGCCCCCCCCTCCACCCACCTTCAGTGTTTGCTCGGTGCTATCGAACTGAGTCTGGAAGCTGGGTCCCCTGCGGTCAGCCTGCAGGGTCACAGAGACACAGAAGCAGGTTCAGACCCGGGCCATCAAAGCTACAGGGTGTGCAGTGCATATTTTCAACCTAGTGAGCTCAAGAGGCCAGCAAATGTGTGTATGTGTGGATAAAGAATAAATATCACAATCAATCTGCTTTTAGAAAAAACAAAATTATTACAATTTGAAAACAAAAATTCAATATTTATCTTTATTTATTTAATACGCACACACACAAAGAATGGGACAGAGCTTAAATTATGCACTATGTTGGGCTCCATCTCATAATACATCTATAGCCATGGAGGACTGAAATGGGATGTAGCACCCACACTTTCATACATTTTGTAAACTAATACTTACAACATTTATGGTGTTTCCATTGTTCATTAAATAAACAGGAAAACAGAAACGATTTTTACTCTTGTATGTTTTACTGCCATCATAAAGTTCTTCCACAGGTTTGTTAGATTCGACAGTTGCCTTCAGTCCAAAATGGCGGATGCATAGCTTCGCTGTGCGGTGATGATGCAATGGAATGACCGGTTAGCTTTCACTTCTCATCAATGTAAGGTCTTTGGCCATGCTTGAAGATTCACAATCTGACTGGCTGGATCCATATACAGTATTGTTCAAAATAATAGCAGTACAATGTGACTAACCAGAATAATCCAGGTTTTTAGTATATTTTTTATTGCTACATGGCAAACAAGTTACCAGTAGGTGCAGTAGATTCTCAGAAAGCAAACAAGACCCAGCATTCATGATATGCACGCTCTTAAGGCTGTGAAATTGGGCAATTAGTTGAAAGGGGTGTGTTCAAAAAAATAGCAGTGTCTGCCGTTGACTGTACAAACACAAAACTATGTTGTACAAACGTTTTTGTTTCTAGGATTTAGCAATCCTGTGAATCACTAAACTAATATTTAGTTGTATGACCACAGTTTTTTATAACTGCTTCACATCTGTGTGGCATGGAGTCAACCAACTTGTGGCACCTTTCAGCTGTTATTCCACTCCATGATTCTTTAACAACATTCCACAATTCATTTACATTTCTTGGTTTTGCTTCAGAAACAGCATTTTTGATATCACCCCACAAGTTCTCGATTGGATTAAGGTCCGGGGATTGGGCTGGCCACTCCATAACATTAATTTTGTTGGTTTGGAACCAACACTTTGCTCGTTTACTAGTGTGTTTGGGGTCATTGTCTTGTTGAAACAACCATTTCAAGGGCATGTCCTCTTCAGCATAAGGCAACATGACCTCTTCAAGTATTTTGACATATGCAAACTGATCCATGATCCCTGGTATGCGATAAATAGGCCCAACACCATAGTAGGAGAAACATGCCCATATCATGATGCTTGCACCACCATGCTTCACTGTCTTCACTGTGTACTGTGGCTTGAATTCAGAGTTTGGGGGTCGTCTCACAAACTGTCTGTAGCCCTTGGACCCAAAAAGAACAATTTTACTCTCATCAGTCCACAAAATGTTCCTCCATTTCTCTTTAGGCCAGTTGACGTGTTCTTTGGCAAATTGTAACCTCTTCTGCACATGCCTTTTTTTTAACAGAGGGACTTTGCGGGGGATTCTTGAAAATAGATTAGCTTCACACAGACGTCTTCTAACTGTCACAGTACTTACAGGTAACTCCAGACTGTCTTTGATCATCCTGGAGCTGATCATTGGCTGGGCCTTTGCCATTCTGGTTATTCTTCGATCCATTTTGATGGTTGTCTTCCGTTTTCTTCCACGTCTCTCTGGTTTTGCTCTCCATTTTAAGGCATTGGAGATCATTTTAGCTGAACAGCCTATAATTTTTTGCACCTCTTTATAGGTTTTCCCCTCTCCAATCAACTTTTTAATCAAAGTACGCTGTTCTTCTGAACAATGTCTTGAACGACCCATTTTCCTCAGGCTTTCAAATGCATGTTCAACAAGTGCTGGCTTCATCCTTAAATAGGGGCCACCTGATTCACACCTGTTATTTCACAAAATTGATGACCTCACTGATTGAATGCCACACTGCTATTTTTTTGAACACACCCCTTTCAACTAATTGCCCAATTGCACAGCCTTAAGAGCGTGCATATCATGAATGCTGGGTCTTGTTTGCTTTCTGAGAATCTACTGCACCTACTGGTAACTTGTTTGCCATGTAGCAATAAAAAAAAATATACTAAAAACCTGGATTATTCTGGTTAGTCACATTGTACTGCTATTATTTTGAACAATACTGTATGCCCATTCACCATTACTGAAATTATCTGTGGTCTTCTTCTCCTTTTCATTGTACTAATGCTTTCCTACTAAGAACACATACAGTATGTGACATAACCAAAACACAGCAACGACCGTTACTGGATTTGTGAGGCTGACAATGATATATAAAAGTTGAGAATTAAAGCAATGCTCGGATCCTAACCTGGATGAAGAACACTATTGGGTGTAAGCAGCAATCCTCTGATGTCTGACACCTCACATTCAGATGCACACACGAGGCGCATCATTAAATCCCGTTTCCCACCTGAGCTCCAGCTTCCTGTCTCTGAACAGATCGGACAAGTCTGCTGGTGACAAGGTGAGTGTGTTTGTGCTCACCTTGATGAAGTCCACCTTCAGCAGGTCAGAGCTCTGCTGCTCCGAGGAGCTGATCATGTGAAGAGGATGTTTCCTGTCATCTGAAACAAATTAAAACACACACCTCACGGGTCAAAAGGAGGGCGGAGAAGATTTCTGCCCCTCACACCCGGGACACAGACCGTGTGAGCTCCTCCTCTCTGGACGGCGCTACAGGTCAGTGTGCACCAAGACGACCAGACACAAATACAGTTTCTTCCCCCGGGCTGTCGTTCTGCTGATGGACACTTAACCCATGACTGTGTACTTGAATGACAACCCTCAGTGCAGTAGTTTCTAAATGTAGTAGGCCAGTGAAGCCCATTCTGATTTCAGCACATTAAACACCTCAGTCCTCAGCAGCATTAGCCGAACAGGTTTTGTTGCATAGAACAAACATTTTGTTTGCTTCAGTAGCTGCAGGAAATGTAAAACTTTTTTTCAATTTAAACTTTTACCTTTATCTTATCTTTTAACTAGTTTTATTTTTGTTGATCTTGATTGGCTGTGACTTGTCTTAGAAACCTAGAGTGGATAACATGCAATCAACATTATGTCTCTCTTCTTAGTTTATTAACAACATTCTTACAACACAGATAAACTGAGTAAACCCCTAGCCAATGTCACTAATGTTAAATCCTGTCCAGTTAATACAATTTTACACAAGTGTTCTAAGCCAAAGAACAATGAAGCTGATTAATTTAAAATAATGTCTATTATTAAACTATAATGAAAGGTTCAATATGCGCATCAACTGCAGCCAGTAATTGATAACATTTTGTTAGAAAGCAGGTAATAAGAATCAGAGACTGAAAAATTCATAAAACAGAACAGCTGTAGTCTCTAATCAGGATGATAAATAGTAAAGATAGAAGGTATAATAAAACAACTGAGAGTCTGTGCAGACTCTACAGAGCTCAGGCCGCCTCTGAAACCAGTGGAGTGCTGTTTCAGCCCATCAGACAAATCAGTATGTAAACATGTTGACGCTCATCAGTGCTGGTGTAAAAATGTAAATTATGTCTCAGAATTACCTGGTACGTCACAGTAGTCAAGAGCAACTCTGCGCAGGTATGAGGTGATGCTCAAGTCGAAACTCCTCCTCTTCCCTTCGGCTCCCAGCTGACTGATGCTGAAGGACAGGACGGTCTTCTCTTGGTCCCCCTGCCGGGTCTGTTCCAACAGTACCTGAACACACCATATGTTTCACTGTCTCATTTAAAGCCAAACCTGGGATGGCAGCTCCACCTCAAATGACTAAGCCTTCGGTTCAGTGATCATACCCGAGCTCTCAGGTGCTTATGTAGGTGTGATGTGCCTAAGTGGGAAAAAAAAGACCACCTTCAGATCTCACTTGACATTGTGAAAAATAGTCAAGCTGACTATCTAAAGGCTGTAAAAGAAGCCATCGCAAAGTATTTTTCCAATATCGATGGAAAAAAAAAGAAGAGAAACAAGCATGATAAATGCTGTTATAAACCCCAGTAATATGAATATTTGGCTGGATCTGTCACCTAGGACCTGTGAAGATTTTCTTCTGTTTTTTTTTTTTTTTTTGGGGATACAACTGTTAAGATTAAGTCCCAGGTAAATCCATGTGGTCCAGATCCCTCTATTATCTTTCCATGCTCAGCTGTCATGAAATACTGTAGCTCGAGTTGGGTACTCTGACTTCTTTGTCAGAGACTGTTCAACATTTAAAGTCGGCCTTGTGTCCACTGGATTCAATACCTTTAATTCTGTTTAACAAGGTATTATTGGTTATTATCGATATTATTGGTCCAACAGTGCTTAGCCTTATAAATGTCTCGTCTCTGGCTGTAAAAGACATCTTTTGTTTTGTTTAAGCTGTGATAAGTATAGGAATGTTTTTCTGATTTGTGCAATGTATTGTTTAGGACTTTTGTTTTTTTTAATTTCCTGTGTGCATGGAAGTTTATTTTGAAAAGACAAGAACGGAAGAAAATGGGAAAAAACGGCGGTAGAAAAAGCACAACACATAAGGACAACACGGACTGCACAAACCCTGATAAAACAACAAAAAAGAAAAAAGACTTTAGTTTGCTGTTTAGCTCCAGTCAACGTTGGCAACAAGGTTTGTCTTACATTTTATATGTTTAAAATACAGTATTATTTGACTTGATGTATATAAGCTGGCTAACCAGCTATTGATTTAGTTTTTCATAGAATTGAGTGTGGTCCTACACGGTTTTAATTTATGGTTCTGTCCTTTATTTTCTTTAGCTCTTACGTTGGTTTGTGAAATAAAACTATTGACCTCCAAATAAACGTTCAAACCATCAGTGAAGGCTCTACATATTTGTCTGGAAGCTACACTAGCTATATTCCAACAGCCCTTAAAAAGGCAGCAGTTCAGCCAGTCCTTAAGAAACCTGGTCTTGACCCCTCAGTTTTATCTAAGAGAGATTATTGTCCAAGGTGAATTGCTTTCTTTAAAGCAATACATGCTTTCTTTCATCAATTCGAGGATTAACTACTGTTGACTACTCTCCAGATGTCAGTTGGCTGCAGCATGTCTTCTCATGGGCAATAGTGAACATGAACACCGGTTCTGAGTTCACTTCATCACTTCCTGTTCAGCAAAGGACTGATGTTAAGTTATTGATGTTAGTTTGCAAAGCTGTGTATGGACTAGTACCGCTGTATGTTTGAGCTTCTTCATGTGCATAAGTTAAGTTGCTCATTAAGATAATCGAATCAGCTGCTCATATAGCTGCTGAGATCAAGACTAAATACGGCTTTGGCTGTAGCAGCCCTAGACTACGGAACAGCCTCCAAAAGTCCACACGATAGGGACCAAAACAGGTTACTTTCTCTGTTTATTAAAATTTTCTAAGTTTAGATTAGATTAGATTAAACTAAACTTTGTCATTACTCATGTACAAGTACAAGGCAACGAAATGCAGTTTGGCATCTAACCAGAAGTGCAATAACAGCAGTGCAGACTGTGAGTATCTACAGTCTGTACAGTCAGAACTAATTTACTGATGGATATGTACAATTGATATCTACAGTAAGATATGTAGGGTAATGTACAACGTACAACAGACTATGGATTCCAATTGCTAGTAATGGACAAGGTACATTAATCTTATGGAACACTAGTGCAATGGGATGAAACAGTGCAGAAGATAACAGTAAGTTACATGAGTGAACAGTTCCATGTTCAACAACCATCCTGTTAATATGGATGGGGTCGTGTGTGCCTCCTTTCTCCCTCCTGTAGTCCACAATGAGCTCCTTGGTCTTGTCGGTGTTAAGTAGCAGGCTATTGTCAGCGCACCACACAGCCAGGTGCTGTACCTTTTCCCTGTAGGCTGACTCATTGTTGCTGATGAGGCCGATCACCGTGGTGTCGTCTGCAAACTTGATGATGGTGTTGGAGCCATGCACAGGCCTGCAGTCGTGGGTGAAAAGGGAGAAGAGGAATGGGCTCAGCACACAGCCCTGTGGTATGCCGGTGTTGAGGATGATGGTGGAGGAGCAGGTGTTGTCTGACCTAACATGCTGAGGCCTGTTGGTCAGAAAGTCCAGAATCCAGTTGCAGAGGGAGGTACTGATGCCCAGGTCGCCAAGTTTGGTGGTTAACTTGGAGGGGATGACCGTGTTAAATGCTGAGCTGAAGTCCACAAACAGCATTCTTACACAAGTGTTGTTGTTGTCCAGGTGTGCAGTGCTATGGAGACTGCATCCTCCATGCTCCTATTCTTGCAGTAGGCAAACTGGTGGGGGTCCAGTGTGGGTGGGAAGTCATTCGGAAGTAGTGCTGAATGAAATTTTGTCTTGTATTTTATTTTATTTATTATTTGTTTCCTTATTTCTAATTCTGTAAAGCACTTTGCAACTTTTGTTTAGATGGAGGCTACATAAATAAAGACTGTTTTGCACCCGAGTCACATGACGACCCAACCCAAGGCCAGACAAACAAACTAACCTCTTTGACTTCAAACTTAAAGTGAATGTCAGTGAGTTCCTCCAGAGCTGAGCGCTGCTGATCCTCATCAGTCGACTTCTCACTGGTGTCATCTGAATCTAATAAATCAGACCAACACAAACACAAATTATAACATGATAATAAAAATAAAACAATTACATAATAGGACCTTTTTTGCAGATGTCAATTAAATTAAGATAGGTGACTTTACAGATGGAATGAAAAATACATCTCACTTTTTAAGCAATTTTTCATTTTGTGCTTCTTTGTTTTGGATCCATTTTAAAAACAAATACATTTAAAAAATGTTCTGATGTTTCAACAATGTTTAGTAGCCAATCAGATCACAGGAAGCATTCACCTGTTTCCATGGCATCCAGGAAGGCAGGCTGAAGACCGAGTGTTGGCATTCTGGCCTCTGCCAGTGACAACACCTGCAGCAGGAAACGCACATCAGCTCTGAGTTGCTGTCCAATCACTTTAACTTCCTCATCACTCTCTAAATTTTCTTCCAGTTTTTACTGCCTCTCTACTAAATTTCACACTGTCACACCCCCACACCTCTCCATCACTTCCCAATCTTCAGTCTGACAAAGATCCCATCACTCCCATAAATGCCCATATTAACACCAATATTCCCTTGTCGGTACCCAAACTTCTCGCTACTCCAGACACTCCCTAACGGACTGAAACTCCCTCAGTCACAGTTTGAATTTCTCACTGGGATCTTTATTTCAACAGGTGTGGCTACAGTATGACCACGTGTACCTTATCTGTCTGGGTGGAGGGCAAGGAGCCCACGCTGGGTAAGGGAATACTGTCGACCAGCTGCAGAACATTCTGGATTTTCTGGTCCGAGATCTTAACGTGCAGCAGTGGCAGCTCGCCAGACACTTTGAACCTGAAACACAAAGACACAAAAATGAATTTGGTAAAATGTACAGGTAAGTCAGCAGACTGACTGGACACCTGTCTACAGGTCCGAGTATCACCTGGGCATCCTGGCATCCTTCTCCACCATACACTTGGCCAGTAGAAGGGTGAAGTCCATCGGCTGGAGGATGTGTTGGACTGATGAACCCTGTAGCCGAGCCGACTTCCAGGCCTCACCTGGAATTAGGTTACAGCTGACTTAATGAAAAATGCACTTACAGGTAGCTGTGTAATTGTGTGCAATTGTGGTGTCACTGTTGCAGGGCAGTAAATATATGTGTGTTTTAGTTATGCACCGGACTTGCTGTAGAGCACCTGGACCCGTCTCAGCTCCACATTGTATCTCTCATAGGCTCGATGCATGATCTCCTCCAGAGAGGAGGGGGAGGAGGACAAAGACAAACTGAGACTGCTCTGCTCGACACTGTTCAGCTGTAAACATACACAAACATAAACAAACATAAAATGAACACGCACAGCTGGATCTGCAGGAGTTTGGGGCAACATCTGGACAGAGGTCAGACTGATCCTGAACAAACAAGCTTGTCAACAATCCTGTTGTCTTAAATTTATTGTGCAGCATGGAGAAAAAACTCAAATTCAGGTAAAACCTCTGTGATCCCCATTATAAAAAGAGAGAGAGAGAGAGAGAGAGAGAGAGAGAGAGAGAGAGAGAGACAAATTTAGGTAAAAACATTTGCAGAAAAATCCAAAAATGTGTTAGACCAGATGAAAACTGAGCAAGCCCTGAAACTTTCAGTATGAAAATGAGCTTTGTATTAAAGATTTGTTAGACTGAAAAGAAAAAAAAACAACTAATAATCAAAAACAAGGTTAAAACACCAAAAATTCCTCAACAAACCCAAAAATATGGTTAAAAAAAATTGGACCTTTGGGAGACAGTCAACCCTAAAATTAATCACCTGCAGGTGTGTAAAACTGGCCTGGCAGGACTAAACAATCACACAAAAAGAGGAACTGACCTGTAAGCTGCCAAAGTCGAAGATGATGAGGTCTGATTCATCACTGTAGAAGCCGGACTTTGGTACCAGCAGGTAGGATGGCTTCAGGTCAATCCGCAGATCCAGGACCTTTCTGGTCTCAATGATATGAGACAGACCTGCAGAGAGACCACAACACATCAGAGCCCTGATGAGGACCAGACTGTCCTCTCTGGGGTCAGCTGAAACCAGAATCCATCAGAGCCGATTCCTGAACCACATCAGAAAACTAAAGTGGTCGATGGCACCTTACTGTGGCAGTCCCTAGACGCAGGAACAGTTTACCTTTTGAACTTGGAGCCACCTCTGATTTGGCTTCTTCTCATGTTCTCCTCAAAGCATATTTACTCACACACACACACACACACACACACACACTTGATATGGGTGCAGTTTGAGGCTTTGTTTAGTTTTTGATTTTTATTTGTTTTCATTATATTTTCATGACCATTTAATTCTTTTGACTTCTTTTTTTTTTTACCCTTTTTGCAGCACTTTGTAACAGTTGTTTACAAAGGTGCTATATAAATAAAGTTTGCTTTACTGGTCTTAGACCTTAAGGCAGTGAAACACACGACATTTGTTCTGAAGAGTTTATCCCCTGTACAGTGGCCTGAGCAGTACAATAAACTGTCTACGTTGGACCTGATTCAAAGTTGGCAAAATATCTACATTTGTTCAGCTCAGACACAGACACATCTCTTACTAAATATTTCATACTCCAACCCCGTTTCTGATCTACAAGGATTGAATCACACAATTTTTCAGATAGGAGCTTCTCATTTTAGTTGGAACAAACTATCACTTTAACTGGTTTAAAAAGCAGACATCTCCAGCTCCAGATAACATCAGCTGTACAAAAAAATGCACTGATTATGCACTGCAAGATCATCATTTTTCATTTATCGAGAGCTTTAATAACATGTCATCAAATTAAGAAAAGCAACATTTACCCTGACTACGTTCAATCTAATAAAACAAAAAACAATATACTTAAAAATCAATAAATTACAAACTGTTATACCGCAGACTGACAGCTCAGCGGTTGTCACAGTAGCTTTCCAGCTCAGCGGATTTTCAGGAAGATTTCACAAGGAAAACAGAGATCAAAGAAATGCTGATACATGATGAAGATGATTGAATCCAAGCCCACCAATAAAACAAAAAAATCTGACTCAACAATACCTTGCAAACAGCTTAGTGGCTGCTTGTGGATGCCGGGTATCCAGCGATGTCTGACAGCGCATTAAATGTGCTACAGCACGTTCCCAACAACAACAAATGTAGGGCATTAAACCGTCAGTGTCAGCAAACCTGCGGGTTGTACTCTCTACCCACACGCACTTTATTTGTCCGTGTACACCTCCGTTATAAGCACATTTCAATTTAAGAAAATGAAAAAGTACATGTAGTATACATTAGCATATTCAACTGTATTCACAGTTTAAGTTTAAACATTCATCGATAAGGGCAGGCTGGATAATAACCTGTGAAGAATATCAATTAAACTGACCTGAGGCAGTTTTATCTTTGATCTCCTCCAGTTTGCTGAGCGTGGCTGAGGTCAACACATCCAGATCGACACCTTTACCAGTCTTAAAAAACTCGGCCATACTGTTTACTGTCAGCTGGAAGGCAAAAAGACATTTACAGAGAGATAAGAAACAGAGGCCTGTACCAGAAGCAAGTTCAACTTATCCTAACACCTAACCCTTGGGGTCATCTAGTTTCACCGAGTGTAACATTGGCAATCCAGGATAACTAGTACCATGAAGCTGGTCATCAACCGGCTCTGTTAAGTCTGGGTTTCCCTGTCCGTCTCAGAGCGCATTCATGTGACAGAAACAGCGTTGTTAATTAGCAACCATGATTGAAGTACTGAATATAATACGAGATGGAGCAGTGATACCTGCAGAGAAACTCGTTTAGAGCCAGAGCGCAGTGATAAGCTGTGAACAACAGGCTGTGGTCACAGAACCAGAGCAGAATAAGAAGCTAGACAAAACACTAGACATAACTTAGATTAAGAAAGACTAATAATACGCTGTACATTAGCCCAGTATTATTATAGGGGTCTTATTCAGCGAGTATATTTTTCTCCTTTGTCTGATGACCAAGAAACTGTTCTGAACATGAGTTAGTAAAAAATCCCGCTGTTTGTCCAGCCAGAGAGTAAAAGCCTGTAAGAACATTGACACTGTCAGGAATTTGATAGGGAATCAAATAATCTTTGTGCATATAAAACCCAGCATTGCTCATCATGGAGGCTGTAGACTCCCTCAGTCTGTTAGAAACTATTTTAAACCAGATTGACCCATGGAAAGCCTGAAACAGCACAACCACGTGTGCGCTCTATAGAAATATCTGTTTATTATTGATCACATTAATGTCGACTCCGTAGGGATAACTCAGCGTTTTCAGTGATCCGATGGGTCGGTGCCCTGGCTGTTGACAGGTTTTGAGTCATAGCCTATTAGGTTGTAGCATTTACCTTCATACTAATCACTTTGACTTGGTTTTCTTCTTCTTCTTCTTCTTTCTTGTCTACTCTACTTTTATTCTATTTTAGTTTCCTAAATGGTATGGCATTCAATACTAGGTGAGAGAGAAACAGTATTTCAGTTTTCTGTATGTCCTGCACATATAGTGAACTGACAATAAAAATCTTTGATCTTGATCTTAACCTGCTCTAGAGCAGGTTAATGTGCAGCATCAGTTACCATGGTGATCTAGCCTGATTAAAAGTGAGCCAGCTTCATGGTTCTGGAAAACCTGAGCCTAAAGTTGGCTGGATAAGCCACTAATCTCACTTCGTGGTACAGGCCCCAGAGTTGGCCTCCAGGACTTTGTCCCCAGCAGAACAAACAGACTGATAAAACACATAAAAACCAAACAGCAGGGATCTTGTGCTTGATGTAAACTTTGGAAACAAGTGGTTCATGTGTTTACTGCATCATAGATGATCTCGACAGGCTGTGAATGGACTCTGAGCAGCTGGTCGGCAGTGCTCTCCTCTGGGTTTAACTCAAATACAACACTGAGAAGAGAGGAGGAAGAGTCTCCCACTGAGGCGATGAGTGAAGGTACCACCCCGTGCTGCTGCAAGCCTGTAACAAACCAGTGTTCCAACGCTGCCTCCACCCTGCAGGATGACCAAAAGATTTACATCAAGCTGAGGACTTGCTTGTTTTTAGCAACACATTCTTTATTTACTCTTGATTCTCCTTTGCAAGTAGGAAAGATCAGTATGAGGATATGTGAATCTGGAAAACTGGTCAGCATTTGTTAATGGGTGCTCACACCTTCATAGACACCCACCTGATGGCTTGAGCTCCAGGTCTCTGAGATATTTTGGTGCTGAGGTCAATCATCTGGATCTTGAGATTTTCTGGGACGCCTGGCAGCTCTCTGATGGTTATGGAGGTTCTTAAGAGCTGAAAGGTGACGACCACAGCTACATACTAAAACACACAAAGAGAATTTAAAAATGTGGCGTTTGTCCTGAGGGTAGTGCTAGAAGAAAGACCATAGAATCATTCAAATATAAAGGGTTCATCCTCTGGAGAGCAGGAAGCACACACTTCATGGAAAACTGTCCATTACACTGTTAAATTTCTTGTTTGACACTGAAGTTTGTCATGATGGTGGTGCTATAGTGGCGCCATAGGAAGGGTCAGAACATTGTCAAGCTTCATCCTGTGGTGACAATGAACATGAGCAGCATGTGTAGCTACCTGTTTGGGTAAAGCCAAGTTGTGAGAGCTGCCACTGTAGCCAATAGCAGTGTAGAGTTTTTCCTTCTCCTCAGCTGTCATGAGCTCGTCCAGGTCTGAACCTGAACCACAGGGGATGGATGGGTTTAGTTACATGGGGGTGAAAGTGATGAATCTGCTCAGTCAATCTGAACAGAGTCACTTACTCTCCTTCTCCTTGCTCTGCTCTGACTCCTGCTCCTCCTTCTTAGCCTTCCTCCCAAACAAGCTACTGAAGAAACCTCCTCCTCCTCCCTGCTTATGTGACCCCGCTGTCTTCTTTCTCTCCACATTCTGCCCTGACCTGATCACCTGGATGATGAAGAAAGGAGAGAATGACAGCAGTTAAACTGGACTCAGGTGACAGTCTAAATATCCTTGTGCAGCTTCATCATGTTTACCTCCATCTGGGCATGTTGCCGGGCTAATATAATGTTGAACACATCCAGAACTTTCTCCAGATCCTGGAGGAAACAAAAAGCCAGCAGGTCAAACCCAAATACAAACCCAATCCTAAAATTGCACAAGCTGAGCTATGATTTAGAGTGAAGTTAACGTACATGATCCAGATTTACTTTAAATGTAGCTGTCAGTGTCAGCCTGGGTCATATTTTCATTTTAAATATTCAGAACCAGAGCTTCAAGTTCACCTATTTGCATAATGCAGTGTTTAATATGCAAATCAATTTATTGTCTACATTCCTCTTTTGGATTAGAAAATGGCAGATTTTTTTTTTAAATTAATGTCAGTCTCACAAAATCTAAGGTAGGGGTGGCCAAAGATACCAATTTACTTTCTTTCTTACAGCTTCTGATTGACCGAACACACCTGATCCAGGTAATTAGCAGTGGGTAGGGCAGAGATCATTAGCAAACATGCAGGGCAGCAGCCCTCGAGGGCCGGGACTGGCCACCCCTGGTCTAACGTGACATCTTCATGTCTGTCTTGCTTTGTGCAAACAACCACCTAAAACCTAAAGATATTCAGTTCACATTTCTAGAAAACAAGGAAAACCTCAAATAAACCCATTAAAGCTGGAAGCAGAGAATCCTTGGCAAAAGGACTAAGTGATCGTCTCAGTTCTGATTCGCTTTCGGATGATTAAATTAATCTTTTCAGTTCTGATCTCAATACTGTGTATTTTCACTAGACATTTTTCTTCAGCAGAGGTGCTATTACTTCAAAATTATTTGATTGGCTGAAAAGAGCCACACTGGCAGCTCTGACTCGAACATATACACAACATTATCATTAGCACATTTAACGCACTTCAGATAAATGTGGAGTTCCAGAAGGTGCCAAGTGAACATTATTTACACTGCAGATGAGAGGGTATAATAGGACCGCTCCTGTCAAAATCCACTGCTAGGCAATGTCCCCGGATTGATTTATGGCCCTTGGATGAGTCATGCTTCTGAGTCTTAGCCCCGCCCACATTTGAAACATAACTTCCACCTAGATCAAAAGCCCAAACCCTAATTTCATACTTCAAACGATTTCACATATCCGTGTTACTTTTTACAATGGAACATTTTATTATAGGTTTTATAACAGTATTATTAGATTTTATTGGGGTTTTTCACGCTGGGTAATATGATAGAAGGCCATCTGCATACCATAACGTCTTCTCTGTAACAGCACCACCACAGACCAGGCATAACACTTCAAAGGGGTTTTATGAGGAAGGGCCAGATGGCTAAGCTCACAGGTGTAGAGATTATTGTTTTAAAACACAGGGTTTAGTTTTTCACCAATAGTTTAATTAAATTTAAGGAGTAAATTTTGTTTTGTTTTTTTTTTTACTTAGGCAAAGCTCTTGTTTTCTCCACCTCTACAGAATGATTTCCCTGTCAGTCCCACACGACACTGGTCACTCTTCACCTCCACAGTTAGTTTCAGGTGGGGTAGGGTATGTCCTTTGTGCACACTAGACTCCATCATTTATGCTGGTACTCTTATTCAGAATACATTCAGACCCTTTCAGTCACTCAGCACCTGGATGTGTTGCTCAGTGTCCTGGCTTGGCTTGCCCCGGCTCAGCAGTTTGGTCTTGTAGACGGCCCTGTAGGTCTTCTGGTTCTCTCGGTGCCGTCTGATGTGGGACCAGGACCACATCTTACTAAGGCGTCTGATGTGGACCTCCAGGATGCTGTTGAAGCCATACCTCCACCTGACAGAGGCAGAGAAACATAACCCCAAAGTGTCAGTAATCAAATACAGCTGGTATTTCTAGGAGAAAAGTGGTTTTAGATATCCGACAAATACTTTTAAATCGCCTTACAAACACCCGCAGTGGTGGGCAGGTGACGGTCTGTTTTTTCCACTTCTATATCCATCAATGGTTCTCCACATTTTAATAAAATTTTTGGTAGATTTTTGTTGTTTCTTGATAATCTTTCCTCCTATGCATCCCTCAGGCCCAATTAAAAAAATGTAAGCAATTTCTTCAGACACATTTTTTTCCAAAGTCTGATATTTAATAAAAAAAAAAAATCTAATTTCGTTATAAGGATTTCAGTCTGGGACGGCTGTGGCTCAGGGCATAATGCAGGTCGCCTCATAACCAGAGGGCTACTGGTTTGATTCCTGGCTCCAGTCCATATGTCAAAGTGTCATTGTGCAAGATTCTGAAGCCCAAGTTGCTGCCAGTGGCTCTCCCACTTGTATGTGAATGTGAATGGGTCAGTGGGTTAATGGTGTGAAAATACACAGGACCAACTTTACATTTAGCTCAACTCCTTGTAAGGCTGTAATAAACACTGCAGCCTGCAGGACACCTCTTAATGCTGAAGCAGCTGACATTGCTTTGGAAAACAAACCAGAGTTTGGCGTTGTTGTGGACCGGGACATTGGGCCTGAACTTCCTATAGGGGGCGTTCTTCACCATACAGTCGATGGACTCCAGCAGTCCCAGCATGGTCTGGTACTGAGGATGACACAGAGAGGACCACACCAAATCAGCAAAACCTGCAGTGGAGGAAAACTCACCAGGTGGGTTTTTACACGAAACAGTGTTGTCTCACCGGTCTTAAGTGACATCTCACCTGTACTTCTGTCACGACTCATGGAATTCCTGTTGCTAGTTTTTAAATTCTGACACATATACCTAGTGCCTCAGCCTACCCTCATCTGTTGCAGCTCTGATTACTCTCACTTACTTCCTGTTAGTCCTGTCAGGTGTCTCTGCATTAAAGCCAGCAGCTCACAGCCATTAACTGCCCAACTGGTACTGGATAGTACCCCTGTGTGACTAACTGCACCTCTGGCCAGCTTTCATGTTTCCCCCTTTAAGGTTAAAGCTGCTGAACTGAGTGCTCACCTGAGGTCACCATTTGTGGACACCTCTCTTTCATGCTTGTGTTCACATTTGGTCTTTTGTCCTCCAGCCAGTAGTTTGTTTATTTTCATGTTTGTAACTCCATATCTCACTGCATGGTTAATTAATAGTTTTTCATGGTTGTGGCCTTAGGTCTTTGTATTCTTGCTCTCCAGTTTTCAGTATCATGGTTCATTTTTGTTAAGCCTAAGCCAAAGTCATGTTTGTCGTAGCCCTCGTTCAGTTTGTGCCACACTGTCCTTGCTCTGCCTTAATCCTAATCAACAATGAACACATTCTACACGCTGCAGATAGAAATCCACTATCAAATACATCAATCCACACTGAATCCGACATGTGCACATCTTCCGTGGAGCCCTTGTGGCTTTTTATGCTTCATGTCTCTTTTTCCCTTTAAAATAATAAAAGTCCCTTTGTTTTCCGTTTCTACTGGTATGTGTTACGACTGATCAGGCTGACTGAGTTTCATTTTCACTCTCACCCTCTGTGCTAAGCCAGGGAAAGTCAAGTCCCCACTCCACACTACTGGCCAGTGGCCTGGCCACTTATGTCTCAACAACAACAACCCGAAGATAGACTAGGCTGGTGACATCATATTTCAGCAGAACTGCTCCCTCACTTCACAACATAACTCATTAATGTAATACATTCAGCCCACAATACATAACAACCAGTAGGCCAGAATCTATACAAAGCTTTAACTTGGGCCCCCTCCCCAATCTGTCGCTTTTACTCCCACGACCTGCAACAGGCTAAGGTTAAATCGCTGATTATAGATGGGTTGAACAGCCTCAGCCCAACTCAACACAGCAGCAGTGACGGCCAGCAACAGACAGAGAAGATACTGATTACAGCTGGAATGAGAAACCTTGACCCAACTCAGCTCATCAACAGTGATGGCCAGCAACAGGTGACAGAGAAGTCAGCCTACAGTTAGATGAATGATTTGGCCCAATTCAGTACAACAATGTGTAGCACAACCATGCTATATGGCTGCAGGTAGCCATTTTTATCAGGCTGACAATAACCAGGAAGAAGCAATATTTTCAGAGATGTGATGACCCGCTAATGTGCTATCTAGCTAGCTCCACTTAGCAGGCATAGCTGTAGCCACTGTGCTCGTATCATCACCTTCAGTAACCTATGAGCTATGTAAAAATAAAAATCACCCTAACACTACATGATAAGATGTGCAATGTAGCTGTTCCGTGTAGCTGCTATATTATATAGTAACTGTGGCTTGAGGTCTCTGTCACCATAAATTTTACCCTCTATAAGAAGTGGCTGCTATTAAGACTGAATGAAGAATGACAGTTTGGTGTCATCAATATAAACATCCAGGGTTCATTGTGACCGTGTAGTAATGATGAAGTTTTCTGACCAGTCGCTAGACTGCAGTATTTACATCACCATTTGGTATCACCTCTGCTCACCTGGAACCTCAACAGAGGCGATACCAAAAATGGTGCCAGGTACCATCCCCAACATTTGACTGAATGAGGTGAGTAAAGTTGAGTGGAGTTGACCCGGTACCAGGCAGTGGAAAAGGGGCTTTAGTGTTCCTTTGTTTGTCAAGCAGCCTTAACTCTTTCATAAAGCACTGTTTCTCTCCATTTCCCTCTGGCTCCATCAGGCATGTGGATCTACATACACACATGTACAAAACTGTGACACCATCTCACATGCTGGTCTCACCTGACCGCCTCATCTGTCTGTTCACCAGTACCACTTATCTGTCTCACCTGTCCCACCCCACCTCCCACATTACCTGTGGTTTGGTCATCTCTATGCCAATGTTCTGAACCTCTAGGTGGAGGTTTACTTTTGGAGTTTTCAGTTCCAGCTCAGCATTTGGGTTGATGCACGCTTTAGCTGAAGCAAAGATCGGCTTGAAAACTACAAACAAACAAAAACAATCAGTGAACAGGACATGTAGATATTGATAAAATACTGAACTATAATCAATAAATTATTCATTTTTATGTCACTTCCACTCCAGTGGATGGAAGTTATTATGAGACTAATTGTAGAAATGTACAAGTTTTACATTCAGCAGCTACAGATTCAGACACTCATCAGCTCCCTATTAGGGTCAAAGCTAATTCTGGCAACAAAACCAAACATCAAGAAAACTATTTCTTTTTCAGGATAAAAATGAACCTAATGTAGAAAAAAAAGGCAGAATTCAAGTAGAATGCAAGTATAGGAAAAAAAAACAGGCAAATGTTTTACAATTTTATTCAACAAATAAAAACTAAGGATTGATGTCATGGCAGAATCCTACATTAGACCTTTTGATTGGTCAAATAGTTTCCTGCCAATAACATCTCTTCACTAGCTAATTAGACTAATAAGATGCATCTTGGTGTTCAGTAATGTATAATAAATTGGGTGTTTTTTTGGATGTAAAACAGAAACTGTGCTTGACTTGTGAATTAATCTACACTCTGCTGAGAATTAAACAAGCAGCAACAAAACAGCTGTGACCAATTGTAAAAACATGTGCGCCCACTATTAGAAAAAGGTAAGCTAACACAATAATACTCTAATGTTGTAATGCCACTATTTCATGTTTGCAGTAGGAATAAGCAGAGGACTGTTGCCTGTCAACCACATGAATCTTCTTCTAAATGTTTAGTTTCTCCATCAGGATCAAACAGGTGTTTGTTCATCCTGTGGGTAAAGTCTTGAACTCACTGTACTGATAGTGCGGCAGCTCCTGATCTTTACTGCTGATCCCACACTTCAACTGATCCTGCAGAAGGTACAAGAAGAGGAGAAGAGGAGTGAAGCTCTGAGTACATCCCAGTTCCCTTATTTGATTATTCCTTGTTCTTGATCCTCAGTCCACCGGGAAGCCTTTTGGTCTGCCATAATGAACGACGTCCCAAAGCTTTTATTCCTGTACTGTGGGCCGAGGATTAAGATGCGAGGAGGTTGCTGGAGGAGCCATGAGTGAAGGTATGTGAGACCATCTATTGCAGATGTTTTTATGAATTGACGTGCCCCTTTATCAAAAAACAGTTGTGATTGGATGCTTCAGATGAAGGATCAGAGTCAGTTAAATCAAATTTCATTGATTCCTCTCTGCTCACATTTTCTCCACATCTTAAGGGTATTTTTACCGAACCTGTCGCAATTATCGTCAGGTGCAGAAAATATTGTAGCATGCAGTTTGTTTGTTTGTTTTTTTTCTCCTGGGTGGCACATTTACCAACACTGATTATGTAAATGGGTGCAGGCACAGCTGTGTTAATCTGAATACATCTCTGCTTCAGATCTGTTGCCTGAAGGCTGCTGTGCGTGTATGGGCTGAGAGGAAGTGTAGAAGAAAGTCTAAAGTTTACAGCAACCAAACTTTAATATGGCTGAGGAAATCAATAACCCATCATCTTTTATTTCATTTAGTAACTGAAGCATAGTTTGACTAAAAAGCCTCTAAAAGATCCTGACATTTTTCTCTGGTGAGCGTTGAGATTTACAAACACCCTCTCTCTCCTCAGAAATGGTCTTAACTCAGACAAGTGACCTGTACCATGAAGCGAGTTCAACCTATTCTTGCATGAGTGTATCAGGCTACAAACACACTCATGTGAAATAGGCAGAGTTGTTCATTAGAAGGGATGGCAACAGCAGCATGAGCGAAGTCGGCCACTGAGACTAATATGAGACGGAGCAGTGATTCCTCGGGGAAACTCGTTTATAGCCAGAGCAGGAAGTGACGTTACGGCAGGTGAACTGTGAACAGTCACAAAACTAGAGCAGAATAAGAAGCTATAGAAACTCGAGAATTAATTTTCAAATATTAATGAATGACGAGGAATACACCGTGCATTAGTGCAGCATTATTTTAAGGGTCTTATTCAGTGAGTATTGTTTTCTCCTTTGTCTGATGATGAAGAAGCTGTTGTCAAAAAACCCAGCGGTTTGTGCTGCCAGAGCGGAGAGGAGAGAACACCGGGGAGGAGCTACACCTCAGGTCACACGTTCATTTATAATCAGGGGACATTTTAACACAGTATGGCTTATTGATCTAATAAAAGACCATTATCACAGAGTGTGCTCATGTGATTCTGAGCTGCAGCGATGGAGCCTGTGAAAACAGACTATCAGAAATTCAGTCCGTAATCAAATGATCTTTGTGCATTTAAAATACAGTGCTGATCATCATGAAGGCTGCAGACTCCCTCAGTTTGTTAGAAATCCAGAAAGCCTGAAACAGCACAACGATATGAGTACCCTGTAGAAATATCTATTTAAACCTCATCACATTAATGTAGACTCTGACCCTGTTATGATGCAGTAGGAATAAGCAATTGTTTTCCCAGTGATTAGACTGGTTGGTGTTCAGGGTGTTGATAGATGATCTAGCCTGATTAAAAGAGAGCCAGCTTCATGGTACTGGAAAACCTGAGCTGAGCCCAGAGTCAGCTGGATAAGCCACTGATCTCGCTTCGTGGTACAGGCTTGGGGTTGCAGGTGACTGACAGCTGCCACAATGACAGCAGGGCCACATCATTTTACACCTGCTTTCTCCTGACATTAAATTTCAGCCACAGTCTGAACACAAAATGAACATTATCAACTTCATGAAAGAGGATTTACTGCAGGACAATTGGATTCGACTGAATTAGATTGACACAGGTGTTCCTAATAAAATGGCCACTGAGCATGTGTTATACTGTATGTGTTAATGTGTAATTCCTGTGTGTGTATGATGAGAAATTAGAAATTCATCTACCCCTTTTTCAAATGAAAACAACTAATCTGTGAGCAGAAGGGTATAAAACAACTCACCACAATATCCTCCCATGATCCTTTGTAGAAGACGGGACTGTTGACGTTCCAGTAGGCGCAAAGGCACTCCAGACGACCAAGCTGATGCAAAAACACATTAATACAGCAAAATCAATTTTTAAAAAGTCACAAAGGCTGATTCTGTCAATATGACATTCAGTGTGATGAGGAGCTATGAGCTGACCACAAACAACTTAATGACATGTGTTTACATACACACAAGAAACCTGGGAGCTGTTCTTCATACAATGTTGAACAGATCCAAGATCAAATGAATAACCCTGGATTTTCTAATGACAACAAAGGATATCCAGATATTTCAATTCTTAATCCCCCACCTGTGTTGCTGATTAAAAAAGCTGAACTAATAAGTGTGTGCTCTTGTGGTCAGTGACTGGACTGTTTCTGGTTCCCATTGCTATGCAGATCATAGATAAATATAACTGACTTAACCCAGATGAATTAGATCAGCTGGTCAAACATCAAGCATGTCTTAAAGACATAAAGGCGAGGATGACCTGTAACTTCTTACTTCTAAACTCTGACAAAACTGAAGTTATTGTGCTTGGGCCTGAAAACCTTAGAAATCTGCTGTCTAATCATATAGTTACTTTAGATGACATAGCTCTTGCCTCCAGTACTACTGTGAGGAACCTTGGAGTCATCTTTGATCAGAATATGTCCTTTAAATCACACAAAATCCAAGTCTCTAGATCTGCCTTCTTTCACCTACGCAATATTGCAAAAATCAGGAGCATCCTGTCCCAAAGTGATGCTGAAAAACTGGTCCATGCATTTGTTACCTCCAGGCTGGACTACTGTAACTCTTTACTATAAGTATATCCCAATAATTCCCTAAAAAGCCTCCAGCTAATCCAAAATGCTGCAGCCAGAGTACTGACAGGAACTAGCAAGAGAGATCATATTAGCTTCTCTCCACTGGCTCCCTGTAAAATTCAGAATAGAATTTAAAATCCTTCTCCTAACATACAAAGCCCTTAATGACAAGGCTCCATCGTATCTTAAAGACCTCGTAGAGCCTTATCATCCTAACAGAGCACTTCGCTCTCTATAAATAAAACTTCATTGAATCATATATCAACAGCGGAAATCATGATCAGATGGTTTCTCGTTAGCTACACACAGATATAAGGAGAGGGAGCAGTCTGTCACTGCAGCAGAAAGCGAGCTTCAGCTGGAGGCTATCAGGAGTTAATATATACCAAAGGTAACTCTACAGCAGCACTGAAATGTGGAGAGATGGAGCGAAAAAATGTCTGACAAATGAAATGCACATGTATCCCATTTAAATCCTTAATGTTGCCACAACTGTGTGTCTACTGCTTTGATATGACAGCACAAACTGTCTCTGCTAAATCTGAGAAGAGTAATCCTGTGCACAGCCGCTTGCTCATACAACCAACACGGTGACAAGCTGTAGTAGGACAATAAACTTGCCAAGTAAAAGGAATTCCAGCACAAAAGATGCCTTGATCATCTTCATTCATTATCTAGTCCTTCATGACTAGATAATGATCTAGACATCCCTTGCGTGTTCTGGATTTCTTCTTATTTTATGTAATTTCTGCATTATATCCACAGTGGGAACAAGCACAACAAGAATCCAGGAACAGGTGTGTTTGTTGGTTGGCTGGTTTGTTCACAGCATAACTCAAAAAGTAATGAATGGAGTTGGGCCAAGTGTTTCTGCAGCGGTAGGGTATGACCCATGGAACAATCAGGGAGATTTTGGTGCTGATCCAGATCATCATCTGGATCCAAACATTTCTTGGATTTTTTTATCAAATCAAATCCAAATGTATTTGTATCGCACCTTACAAACAATCACTTGTGGAACAAAGTCCTTCACAAACAGAAGCAGAAATAATAGTATAGAACAGATTAAGACATAAACAACAGGAAGAAAATGTTGTCTACACTGATCCAAAAGCCAACGAGAATAAGTAAGTCTTTAATAGAGACCTAAATTCTGCCAATCTGTGGCACATTTAACATTGGTAAGCTATCCTATACCTTAGGGGCCCCGATCACCCCAGTGTTTATACCTTGGTGGTTGGACCTCAAGAAGAAGCTGAAGTGATTTCACTTAGGTTGATTCTTAGACCACTGTTATTCGACCTGGACATGCCCCCTCTGGGTCAGATCATACATGACAATAACAGGGATGATAACTCAAGTGTTTCCAGTGATGTGATTGGTTGGTGCTCAGGCTTTTGACAGGTTTTGAGCCTATCCCCTGAAGTTAACCTGCTCCAGAGCAGGCTAACATGCAGCATAAGTTACCATGGTAATCTAGCCTGATTAAAAGTGAGCCAGCTTTGTGTTACTGGAAAACCCAAGCCCAAAGCTGGCTGGGTAAGCCACTAACGTAATGCAACATAGTAACTGTAAATCAGTCAACAGATTTCTCCCCATCTTTCTGATTTTCACTGTACTGGTGATATAATATGCTGCTTCTGTTTATACACACTATATAAATTTACTTTACTACAAAACATCAGATAACATGGTGAGTAAACCTCAGGGTTTTAGTTTCACCTTATAGATGATCTTTGCTGCTTCATTCAAGATACACAACTTCCAGTTCTCATCGGTGGTCTGAAAAACAATGTGACAGCAGGTCAGCAACACCTGTCACAGGTACATATTGTTTGTGTGTGTTTGTGTGTGTGTGTGTGTGTGTGTGTGCCTGTGTTTGTTACCTGCAGGCTGAGCTCTGACAATGTCACTCCCATAGACAGGGGGTGCTCTGGGTCCAACAGCTGAAATACAAACATGGTGTGTGTCAGTCACATGACTGAGTTACTGACAGATGACAGCTCGCCTGTGGTGTTTCTTAAGTCTTACAATTGTGGTAGAAAGAAAGCACACCCGCCTTCAGTTCTATGTTGTTTCCATCAGGGACTAAAAACAACCGTGTGGACCTCACCAACTTCTGTATACAAATAACCTCAGGTGACAGCAACAAATTTCAATATGTGGTCACTGTCTCCTAAAAGTAAACCAACATTCAGAAACCAGGTGGGAAAATAAAAATCCACCCCTCCTACTTTCACAATCATTGAGTAATTAGCAGCCAGGTGTTATTTAACACACTGGATTAGTCAACCATGAAGAGGTGTGACTGTCTGCATAAAAGCATAACTTCTGGTATTTTGGTGTTCTGGAGCACTGAGGTGTGTCTCTGCATAATGCCAAGAACAAAGGGCATCAGCCATGACCTCAGTGAAGCAATCATCACTGCTCATCAGTCCACTAAGGGTTACAAGGACATCTCCAAACAATTTGAAATTCCCTGTTCTAGAGTAAGTTTGTTTACAAATGGAGAGCCCTCAAGACAGCTGCCAGTCTTCCCAGGAGTGGGCGTCTCAGCAAATTCAGTCCAAGGTCAGATCATTTCATGGTCAGAGTAGAAAGACAAATAACCCAATGTAACATAATGTAGCTCTTACGTGACCTGCAGGCCTCTGTAAGCACATTAAAGGTTTATGTCCATGACAGCACAATTAGAAAGAGAATGAACAAGTATAACCTTCACAAAAGGTTGTCTAGGAAAAATCCCCTTCTCTTCAAAAAGAATATGGCATCATGGTTTGCAAAACTGCACATGAACAAACCACAGCAGTTCTGAACCATTATCCTTTTGACTGATGAGACCAAAATGGAGCCGTTTGGTTGTTTTGCACAGTGCCATCTTTGGTGAAGACCAAACACAGCACATCACCATAAACACCTAATATCAGAGTCCAGGCGCAATAAGCAGCCCAGAGGCTGGAGGTGTTTAAAGTTGATCCTCACTCCACTAAAATGCGTTCGATATGGGCTAAGGGTCCCAGCCCCCAGGCTCATGCCAACCACAGGAATTAGACAAGGGCCAGCAGGTTCCAGAGTGCATCGAGAAATGTGCAGGTAAGAGGCCAGGCCGGAATCCAGGAGAATGCAGTATCAAGCCCAAAAAACGGCATTAGGGCAAGTTTAAATAGCAAATAAATAAATAAATAAATAAAATTT